CCTTTTTTTTTTTTTTTTTTAATTTTTTTATTTATTTTTTATTTTTTTTGTGAGACAGGATCGTGCTGTATCGTTTGGGCTTGCCCTAAATTTACTGTGTAGCCCAGGTTGGCCTCAAACTCACAGCAGTCTTCCTGCCTCAGCTTCCCATTGTTGGAATTATAAGTATGTGTCACCATACCTGGTTTATCCACACTTTTTAAAATGAGTAAAGTGTAGCATAGAGAAATTAAATCATCTTAAGGTTGTACAGTTAGTAAGTGGTATTGTGAGTATTTAAACCTTACTTGATTTTTTTTAAATGTAGCCAAAACAGGACTTTATTAATGGTGTGGTCTCTAATCAGAGCCAATGTAGGAACATTTCTGCTCTGTTACATAGTCATATTTAAGGGAGAAAAATTACAAAGACAGCCCATTGGCATTCATAAAGACTGCATTGCTCACAGTGTATTGTGTTATAGCCCCAACTACATTGTATGCATAGAGTAGGCTATGAATGATCTCCTTGGCTTTTATTCCAAGTGAAAAAATTCTACAAATACCCATAAGGTTCCCAACTAAGTAAACACTGAGAGTAGAGTCATGATAAGGTGCACTCTTCCTGTCGCTGCTTTTCTTGGTTTTTTTGAGACAGGGTCTTGCTATGTAGTTCAGGCCAGCCTTGAACTCACTATGTAGCCCAGGTTGGCCCAAGAACTCAAGGCAGCCCTCCTGCCTCAGCCTCCCAAGTGCTGGGATTACAGGTGTGCATCACCATATGAAATTCTTATAAACAAACAAAAACCCAGCAGATGAAAAAATGAGCTAATTCTTTTTTTAATCTTATTATGACAGTGATTGTTATGAAACCATGCACAATTTTACTTCTTTTGAATCTTTGCTATTTTTCTCCCAGAAGAAATGATTAATTCAACAATATTTATGAAACCATGCACAATTTTACTTCTTTTGAATCTTTGCTATTTTTCTCCCAGAAGAAATGATAAAATTTCAACAATATATGACCTGAATAAAATATATAGAAATGAATAGAATGAACAGAAAATATCTAAAACCAAATATAACAAGTCAGGGAGCCAATCAGATTCCAGAAGCCTTCATGGAACAAGGATCTCAATAAAAGGAATGGCAGATGAGAAAGCCATGAGTGCCGGGGGCTTAGCTCAGTGGTTCCAGTGCCTGTCTTGCAAGTGCAAGGACCCAAGTTCGATCCCTGTCTGTGTATGTCCCCACACATCGTCACTGGGGTTGACACTGGCTGAATGTTGGATTTCTCCAAGAGAAGATCATACACATAGTCACATAGCTGCTTCAAGTTGTTCTCCAGCAGGTACTTGTACAGCGGCGCTCTCTCCACACGCATGTCCAAGTCGGGTGGCGCCATTTTAGGGAGAACAAGCCACAGTGGAGGCTGAAGCCTAACCTTACTTGATTTTTAAACCTATACTACTAAGGAAGTAACCTGAAGTATTATAGGTTAGGTGTTGTGGACAATTCAGAATGAAAAAGAAATAGCTAAGCCAGGCACAGTGGCACATGCCTATAATCCCAGCACTAAGGAGGCTGTCATAGGAGGATCTTGAGTTTATGGCAAGCTACCTATGTGATGTGATCAAACTATTTTTTTTAAACAGTGAAAGATACATTGCCATCAGTACCCCTTAAAATCCTCTCCCTTACTTTGAACACACTTATCCTATTGTTCTTGCCACTTTCTGAAGCACTTCTGGTGGTCCTCTTTCCTGTCTTTAGTTGCATAGTGGTGGCTGCCTTGATGTTCTTGTTAAATTCAAAATGTTTAACTTTCCTGGTTATTTTGACTTTGGGGATGAGGCAGAAGTTGCATAGTGCCAGAGCCACTGAATAAGCTGAATGAGGATGTGCTGTAATGTTTTTACAAAGCTATTTAATAGCTTGGCAGCTCCATTCACCATATTTTTGATCACACCTTGTAAAGATATGAAAAAGGACTTCCAGAACTTCTTCAGAAAGTAGCAATAACAATGGGATAACTGTTTGAAATGTGAGGGAGTATTTTGAGTGGGATTAATGACAGTGTGTCTTTTACCATAACTTTTTAAAAAATTTAAACATAGATCATGTTTTTTGATCAGCCCTTGTGGGTAGTCAGAGGTCAGCCTGAACTATATAGTGAGATCTTGTCTCAAGAAAAAGAAAAAGAAGTCACTAACATTGAGCTCTTACAAGGAAGCATGCATTATTTAAGAAGTTTATATGTGCTGACTTATTTAATACTCAGAATAACTCAACAAGGAAGCACAGATATCCCATTTAACAAATGAGAAAACTGAGGCAAGGGATTAGCTTGGTCAAGCTGACGTAACTAGCAATTTTGAGGCCAAATTTCAGACCCATACAGTTGATTCCCAGGCTTTTTGCCTGCTTGCCTTTGCCTGTCCCTCCTTCCCTTTCTCTCTCTCTCTCCCCTTTCCTTCCTTCCTTCCTTTCTCTTTTCTTCTGTCCTTTCCTTCTTTTCCCCCTCTTTCCAACTGACCTCCATTTTTAAAAAATTTATTTAATTTTTAGCTTTACTTTGTTTTAAATTGACACATAATAATTTCACGTACTTTTTTTTTGGTACTGAGGATTGAACTCAGGCCCTTGTGATATGGAACATAGTGTGATGTTTTTAATGTGTGTATAGATGTTGTATAATGATCAAATTATAGCATTTAGCATGTCCAGTACTTCAAACATTTATCAGGTATTTTTGTTCTGTTTTGTATTGTTTGGCTTCTTTGTACTGGGATTGAACCCAGTGCTTTCACACTGAACTATATCCCCAGCCCTCTTTTTTTTTTTTTTTTTACTTTTTGTCTTTAAGACAGGGTCTTGCTAAGTTTCCTACCTTGGGCTCAAACTTATAATCTTCCTGACTCAGCCTGCCTGCCAGAGTCCTGGGATTATAGGTGTGCACCACCAAACCCAGAAAATTTATTATTTCTTTTTTATGAGAAGACTGAGAATCCTTTCTAGTTATTTTGTAATATATACCACAACACTATTGACTGTAGTCATCTTCCTGTGATAGAGAATTCTACACCAGAACTTATTCTTTCTAATTTTAATTCTATGGCCATTGACCAATCTCTCTGCCTTCCCCCTACTCTCCCTAGCTTCTGATAACCACTATTCTGCTCTGTTCTATGAAATCAGCTTTTTTTAGAGTCTGTATATGAGATTGTGTAGTACTTGTGTCTCTGCCTGGTTTATTTTACTTAACATAATGTCCTATAGATTTATTAATGTTGTAACAAGTGACAGGATTTTATTCTTTTTTATGGTAGCATTATTGTGTATCATACTTTTTTTTTGTCAGTGGATGAACATGGGATAATTGCAAATCTTGGCTATTATCAATAGTGCTACAGTAAGCATAGGAGTCCAGATAGCCCTTCAATATACTGATTTTATTTTCTTTGGATAAATACTCAGTGGATTGCTAGATCATATGGTAGTTTTTGTTTGTTTGTTTATTTGTTTTTGTAGGCCCCGGGAATTGAACTCAGGACCTTGTACTTTCCAGGCAGGTGGCAGAACTACTGAGCTAAATCCCTGGCCCAATCATATGGCAGCTTTATTTTTAATTTTTTGAGGAACTTCATGCTATTTTTCATTATGGCTGTACCAATTTATATTTCCACCGACAGTGTATAAGGGTTATTTATCCATCCTATGGCAGTATTTGTTATTTTTTGTTTATTTTTGGCCTGGTCTTGAATTTCTGCACTCAGGCAATCTTGCTTCAGCCTCCTAAGTAGCTGGGACTGGCTGGGTGTGGTGGTGTACACCTGTAATCCCAGCACTCAGGCGGATCACCTCAAGTTTGAGGCCAGCCTAGGCTCCATAGTGAGACTATGTCTCAAAAGGCCAAAAGGAAAACTAAGCAGCTAGGACTACAACAGGCTTGAGCCACTGCACCTGGCAAAGGTAATTAACTGTTGTTGTTTTTTTTTTATACCAGGGATCTAACTCAAGACCTTGTGCTTACCAGGCAGGCGGTGGCACGACTGAGCCAAATCCCCAGCCCAATTAGCTGATTTTTACAGAACTTCTACTATTTATTTTTCTCTGTGCTTTAATTTTTTTCAAATGTATATATTTTAAAGGTTTTCTTCAAGCAAAATGGTACCTTTCCACTTTCCTCTATCAAAGTGTGCACTTTGGAATCCAATGCCAACTGGAGATTTTATCTACTTACATCTCAATTACTTCAGGTACAAGATAATTCTTCTGTCACATCAAACCAACATGAGTTATAAAAGGATGTGTAAGGTAAAGTTGATGACTATGATCAATTATAGGTGGATACCCTGATCCTGAAATCTGAAATGCTCTAATTCCAATCTTTTTGAGTGCCAGCATGCTGTGATAAGTGGAAAATTCTACATCTGACCTAAGTATGCCTAGTTACACTCAGAATGAAAGCATACAATGCACAGTTGTATAAGATTACCTTCAGGCTATATATACTGTATATGGTATAAAACATAAATGAATTTTGTGTTTAGACTTGGGTCCCACCACCAAGACGTCTTGTTATATATGTGCATATAGTCCAAAATCTGAAACACTTCTATGCCAACTATTTTGGGTGAGAAATACTCAGTCTGTATTTGTTTTTTTTTTTTTACTTTTCCACTAAAACTTCCCTCAATCAAAACTTCCATCTGCTTCTGCTTGAATTTTTTCCTTATGCTTCTGAGAAATAATTTTAACTGCATAGTTAAAATAGCAAATCTAAAGTTCTGAATATGATGGGAATTTAATTCAAAGGAGGTTAAGCATTAATAAAACTGACATTTGTTAGGCTAAGGCAGGAAGATTGCCATGAGTTGGAAACCAGCCTGGCCTCGAGACCCTGTCTCAAATAAATAAATAAATAAATAAATAAATAAACAAACAAACAAACAAACAGATGCTGAAAATTGTTTTATCATGTTCATTCAGCACGATATCTTTGTAGAACATTGAGGAAATAACTGATTTTGAGTGGATCAGATTAAAAGGAATATTAAATGTTGTGGTTCTATTTAGGATCCTGAAAGACAAGTTTAGACTTAAAGTATTAGAAAATAGATCCATTGAGAATTTATATAAAATGTCTTGTTGAGGGCAATGGTCTAAGAAGGATGGATTATAGTGAGGAGAGCACAGAGTCAGTTGATTTGTGAAATGATTTTCTGTAACCACATACATTTATGTCACAGTGGGTATTTTATTTTGTTTTGTTTGAAACAAGGTCTTGCTATGTAGTCTAGGGTGGTCTTGAACTTACTTTATAGTCCAGGCTGGCCTCAAACTCATTAGTGATCCTCTTACCTCAGCCTCCCAAGTGCTGGGATCACACACATGTATCAACACATCCAGCTTGCCATAGTGGTTTAAAATGTTATGAGTGGAGTCAGGCTACCTATAGCATCAAATCCTGATTCTACGACTTCTTATTTATATGACTTCAATAAAGTGTGAAGGATCAATTTCCCTTTTTTTTTTTTTTGATACGGGGATTGAACTCAGGTCCTTATGCTTGCGAGGCAGGTGGCGGAACCACTGAGCTAAATCCCCAGCCCTCAATTTCCTTTTTAATAAAATAGCTATAATACTCATTTCAAGCCTGGTACAGTGATGCAAGCTACTCAGGATGTTAAGGCATGAGGATCAGAAGTTCAAGACCAGTCTAGGCAATTTAGTTAGACTCTGTCTCAAAATAAGAGCGGAGACCACCCTTGGGTTTGATCTCCAGTACTGGAAAAAACAAGCACAAACACACAAATTTCATCATACTTTTTGTTTTTATTTTTTATTAAATTTTTTTAATTGAACCCTTGTACATGCTCTGGTAGCACTCTACTACTGCACTACTCCCCAGCCCTTTTATGTTTTTAAATGTGGAAGTACATATGCCACATATATGAAAGAATATATATATGCATAATGTATAGAATAATAAGCATTTGTGTATGTGGCTCCAGTTGATTATGTAACCTATTGAATTTTAAATTGATTGTGTTTTTGACAGGGGTGGTGGTGCATGCCTATAATCCTAGCACTTGAAAGGCTGGCGAAGGAGGATCCCTATAAGGCCAGTCTGGGCTGCATAGAGAGTTCAAGGCCAGCCTGAACTACATAGCAAGACCCTGTTTCAAAAAAATAAAAATAAAAAAGTTAAATTGATTATATTTTTATTTCTGCAAGTTCTGTATGTTGTTTGTGTATTTTGAAATTTGGTCTTTTTTCAGGTTGTTGTACATATATATTGGTTTCCTCTTATATTTCTTTAAACATTTAATCATATTCTGTGTTCAATGATGCTATTATCTGAAGTCCATAAACAGTATGGAAAGAAATTAATGTGAGTGTTTACTCAATATTTACAATAACCCATCAACCTCATCGCTTGTCAGTTCGTGTTCTCATTCATAAAGTTATGCAGGTGCCTGGAGGGTAACTACAGCTTCCGTCTCAGCTTATTGGCATTCCATTTCCTGATGGCGCTCTCTACCCCTTGCCTTTGACCCTGGAATTTCCTGAAAATCTTTCTGTACATTTTAAAAGTTGTGTTTTATTTTAGGTAGCATTTCATGACCTACGTGATAACTTCTGTTATCTTTCAGAAATCCAAAGCTTGTGGTGACTGAAAAAACCATCCGACTTGCTTACCGTCATGCTAAGCAAAATAAAAAAAATGTGCCATGTTTCTTGCTTGGTTCTCTCACAGTGGATGATGGTAATATACTTTAAAAAATTACTTGTGTGACTAGAATACAGCTTACATTTATTGATTGAGCCAGATCCTATCTATGCTTTGTACTAATTTTCTTTGTTGTATATCAGGGATATGAAGATGAGTAAAACTAACCATTACAGACTTCACAGTATAATTGATAGGTGGAAAGATATATAAACAAATCATTATTTAAAGTTAAATTTTAATAAATTACTGGTGTGAAAAAAGTACTTTGCTATAATGTAGCCTTGCTTGGTTTATGCTTTTTATTTGCATGCTATATAATCCTTGTTACTTTTGTTCTTCAGATGAAGAAGGTGTAACATTGACAGTAGATCGCTTTGATCCTGGTCGAGAAATACCTGGGTGCTTAGAAAGAACTCCTACTGCTTCTCTTCCTGGGGACTTTCTGATCCCCTGCAAAGTTCATACTCAAGGAGTTTGTTCAAGAGAAATGACAGTTGATAATGTAGATGACTTCAGTTCAACTTTTAAAGTGAGATTCATTTCAATTGTTATTCTTAATTCAAGAATCATGCTAAGTGTAGAATGCAGTACTTCAGTAAACCCATATTTGAGAACTATTTTTAATAATTTATCATTGAATTATTGTGGACTGAAATCTAATTAATGTGGCTTCTGAGGCAAAGGAAGGTAAAATAGACAGCATTCCAGAAAAGAGGCTTTAGATGTGCAGGAAACTTTAAGATGTGCAGGAAAGTTCAAAATGTGCTCCATGTAACGTGTGTAGTTTTTGCTACATTTGTGGGCTGTGACACTGGAATGTTAATTTGGTCAGATTATAGAGAGCTTTGTTTGTCTCACAGGCTAAGGAAAATAAACTGTCATATGGGCCATGCATTTATAAAAAAATTTCTGAAAAGAGAAGATAAACTGTCAAATCAGGAATAGTTGATCTGATGGAGCTGACTGGCTGAAGTCAGATCAGGCCATCACAGTAATCAGAGATATACTAGAGAGGAATTTCTTACACAGCAGTAGAGTGGTGACACTAAGACCAGAAAAGATACAGTGGGCATGAATAAGTGCAGGGGAAGAACTAACTTGAAATTTGGGGTAAAAAAGAATAATAAAGGAATGATCTTGAGATTCCCAGAGGCTGAGTCAATTGATTTATGTCCATATTTGTGTCTGTAATAAATATTTACTGGGGGTAACACTCCCTAATAAGATTTTGAAATGCTGGTAGGACAACTAAGAAACTATGTGATGGAGCTTGGAACAGAAGTCTTATTTGCTTTAATATAACTATTCGTTTAATCTTTTGATCACATGAAAAAATGAGAATTCAGATGTGATCAGAATTAATTTAATTTTATTAATGCAATATATATGTATATGAACCAGTATAAAACAAACTTTAAAGATGTGGAGACATTTCAAAGTTTTTAGATAATTGTATAATATTGATTCCTCAGGCTCTGCAGCACCATGTATGTAGCAAAGATTCCTTGGACTGTGGTAAACTGCTTTCTGTGCGAGCTCATATCACTTCCAAGGAGAGTTTGGACAGTGTGGATTTTGACTTGTATTGGGAAGCAATAACTCTGGCAAATAGCTTCAAATGTGCACCTGTGAAGCCCATCCCCATTATCCCAACAGCTCTGGCAAGAAATTTGAACAGTAATCTGAATATTTCTCAAGTTCAAAGTACCTATAAATATGGGTAAGTTAGTCTAAAAAAATATACATTTTTTTAAGTACCAGTGATCAAACTCAGGACCTGGTGCTTGCAAGGCAGGCAGTGGATTAGTCTAAAATTTTAAGAATTGATTGCATTAATATTTTTCTTAGGCTGTACAATAATTCGAAATAATTGTGCAGTTAGTTTACATGTCAGAGATCTGATAATTTAATCAGTGACCAGGGAAGGTTAAAAAAATAGTTGTTACTTTTCTATCTTTTTTTATCCTGGGAACTGAGCTCAAAGCCTTTTGCTTGCTAAGCACATGCTCTACACTGTGCTGCAATCTAAGTCTATTAATTTTTGCTGAATGAAGTTTTTTTTTCAAAGAATTGTATGCACAACCTTAGAAAAATATTGTTGATTTTAAAAATTATATTAAAATTGATTGTGGGGCTGGGGATATGATTCTGTGGTAGCACTTGCCTAGCGTACATGAGGCCCTGGTTTCGATCTTTAGCACTGCAAAAAAAAAAAAAAAAAAAAAAAAAAAAGGTAGATACTTTATGATTTGAAAATATAAGGAAAAATCACTTCTGCATTTTACCTATCGTACTTTACCTAGGTTTTAGGCCATTTTCTTTTTTTAATAATAAATTGAATCTTAAGAGAGCCTAGAGAATTTATGGTAGTTTTGCTTATTTATATGATTTATTATATACAGGTTGAGAAAGGGAATAATTAAATATTTGTAGTACTCTTGTCAAATTGTCAGCTACTTGAGGGTGGAGTTTCCTCACATAGCTGCAGCAGAATTCTCTTTAGTTTCTGATCACTTAGTTTCTTAGGAATTGTAAGTCAAAATGCATGCTTTCTAATCCTCATCTTCCTGAATCCTGAATCCGCATCTACTTTATTGTCTAATGAAATAGGTGAGGCAGTGTGAACACCCTGTGCTCTAAAAGTTTGAGAGAGGTAGCTCTGAGCATTACACTTCTGACTTCCTTTCCTGCTGATTCCACTCTAGCTCCTGTTAGGCCTCTAGAGTCAACAATATTTGCCAAGGTGTATTGAATTCCAGTTCTTTACCTCTAAAAGTGCTTCTTCAAAAGAGAATGAGTGCGGCGTTGGTGGTATAGTGGTGAGCATAGCTGCCTTCCAAAAGAGAATGAGAGAGAAGACATTGACAAAAAAGTCTCTGGAGTATAAAAAAAAAGGTCCCATTTTGAATCCCAGATTCTGACCAGAGTAGTCCTTGCTGGTTAGAGCAGAAAAAAGTATTATTCTGTTCCAAAATCTTGTAATATATTAATTTTACAAAAGTTTGAATTAAACATTTAACTCTTTTAGCATAAAAAAGTGCTTTTCAATGAGAACATGTTTTCTTGTTGTTTTGTTGTTAAAATTAACCAAAAAGTTAATTTATTTTCCTTCATACCATGCCTATTTAATCATGGAGCATGAATTTGTATTTCTTTCAATTATTCATCTATGATCCCCGGCATTCCTTTAGTAACCAGGATGTTTAGTATTCTATCCAATTGCCTGTTCCCCTTGCTGCTTCCTATCAACAATTATCTATTAAATTTGCTCCATTTGTTCTTCAACAACATTCGCTTATCCATTCTAATATTTATTGGGTCCATTATAGAATTGGTATTTGTGTTAGGAGTTAGAAAGAAATAACTTTTTAAAAAACATATTTGTTATCCATTAAATATATTAATTTCAAAACATACTGCACTACAAAAAACAACATGATGCGCTACAGTGGAAGCTTTGCTGGGAACACAGGAAGGTATGTCCAAATAGCCTGGGGAAATCAAAAGCCTACACCAATTCTTTTAAGGTATAGAAATAGGAATTTATTAGGTGGACAGGGCTGGCTGGCTGGCTTTCTTTGTTTCTTTCTCTCTGACTTTCTTTTCTCTAAGATAGGCTGTCATGTGTAGCCTAGGCTGGTGTGCATCTCAGTCCTCCTGCCTTAGCCTCCTGAATGCTGGGATTACAGGCATGTGCCACACATCTGGCTAGAGGGAGAGTTTTTTAAAGCAGGTTTGTCATTGTTGATATATAAATCTTAACTCAGGCTTACCCTTCTTGTTCCATGGTCTGATAAATTTATTGGTCATGTTTTAGGGTTATTAGAGCAATACGGCATCATAATGGTTCCATCTAGACAATATTATTAATGGCATTGTTCTTATTTCTGTAGTTTAACGATAAAATTAACTCAATAATTCTCCTGTGGGTTTTCATCTTCCCCTTTTGGGAGGCATGGCTGATGCATGTAAGGCAGGCTTCACCAAGCTATCTCCTCATCCACAGGTTTTTCATATTCTTAAAATTTGCTGTCACTTGTAAGTATAACAAAGTATAAATACAGTATAGTGTCCCTTTAGGGAAAGGCTTATAGAATATTAAATGTAGAGTATTTACATTTTATCATAATGTTATTTGATAATGATTAGACAAATGAGATGCAGAGGGTTGGTTATACCTTCTCTAACTCAGCCTCCTGAATGTGAAAAGTTACATTTGTTGGAGTATAGTGAAGTCACCTGGATACTTGCATACTTCAGAAACAATTCACTTTTCCTAGTATAACCTAATTGATTCTAAACTGTCTGCTTTAATGTTAACACTTTTGACAAAAGTAAGCTGTAAGTAAAGCTGAGGAATAAAAATATTTTTTAAACTCTTTAGGGACATTTTTAATAGTTTTAAGATACTAAATCTTTTTAATCTCTTCTTTCCAGAGTCTTCCTTCCATTGTATCAAATGTTTTGAACTATTTTCTTTGTGTTTAGTTGTGTGTGAGAGACAATGTTGATTTAAATTTTGTCCCTTACCTAAAATATGCTTAATAATTCAGATCACCTCTGTTAGGTTAAAATATATACTTTAAATTATTTTTACATAAATGTCTTCTCTTTAGATATCTTACCATGGATGAGACACGCAAATTGTTACTTTTGCTGGAATCTGATCCCAAGGTTTGTTCTCTACCATTAGTGGGAATGTAAGTATTGTATTATTTATGAAAACTTTTCAGCCAAATACATATACAAATACATAAAAAAGGCACATGAATTGTACCATGAGTATACAGATATTTATTTATTTATTATTTTGGTACCAGGGATCCAACTTGGGTCCTTGAGCTTGTATGGCAGGTGTTGGAACCACTGAGCTAAATCCCCGTCCCTTTTTTTTTGAGACAGGGTCTCACTATGTAGTTGAGACTGACCTGGAACTCACTATGTAGCCCAGGCTGGTCTCAAACTCATGGCCATCCTCCTGCCTCACACTCCCGAGTTCTGGGATTACAGTCATGAGCCTCCACACCTGGCCTTATTTTTTTATTTTAATAGTAGAATCAGCTAAAATAAGTTTTTTTTTTCCCAGTCATAGGGAAAATTCCAATGTATACAACAGATAAAATCGAATTCTTGTTGAAGTTGAAGACTGAGAGCCCTATTTCTTCAATTTTCTCTTCTCCCTGTCCTTAAGGGCTCAAAAAAAATACTGTTAAAATCCAAGACAGTTTTGCAGAAATTCCTTTTCATTTTAATAGCTTTATTTTTGAGTTAATGATATTTAGACAGATTATTCAGAAATTTATGTTCATTTGGTATTTGTTGAGTGCTTTCCATGTGTTTTTGGTACTGTTAGGATTTAAAGCTCCTTAAGGAGTTTATAACCAAAAGTGAGGCAATAAAATACTCAAATAGTCATATACAGAAAAATAAATAATGAAGTATATGGTTTACTGTGAAATGAACAGTAAAGGCAGTGAACACTACTAGTATTTCTAAGAGAGAAGTGATAGGAGCATTTTCTTACAGATGGCAAACTCAAGCTGGACTTTTAATTATTTAGTAGTAGAAGAAAGGATTGATAAGAAATGGAATCCATGTGAGAGACTGGCATGCACCGAGTTAATGATAATGCAGACATGTTCTCTAGACCAAGAAATCTACTTGTAGTCTATGCCATAGTTCTGGTTGGCTATAAGTTATTGATGCCTAGGTGAACATTGAATAAGAATCTTGCACTTCAGACAACCTATCAAGTCCATAGGATACCTACAGCATTCACCCTTTTAATTCTCTATAAAAGACTTTTAGACTATAAACTTCATTCTCTGCCAGTTCAGCTCATTCTTCCTAGCACAAGCTGATTCATTCTGGAACCTTGCTTTCACCTCCGTGAACTATTTTCTTGCCCTCATCTCAAATGAAAAGATTGGAAATAAATAAATGTGTGTCTGTTCTTTTTCTCTCTATATGCAGATGTGATATATTCATGTGTATATCTATATACAATATTTTCCCTCTAGATTGTCAGTATGATCTATGTTCATAGATTTCTTAAGTTTGTATGTTTTTCAGGTCTTTTTGTGGTTGTTTGAGGCCCTGGGAGTTGAACCCAGGGCCTCATGCATGCTAGGTAAACACTCTACCACTGATCTATGTCCTCAGCCCTTTGTGAGACTTTTTTTTTTTTTTTTTTTTTGGTACCGGAGGTTGAACTCAGGACCTTGTACTTGGGAGGTAGGCGTGGTGTCATTGAGCTAAATCCCTGGCCCTTTGTGAGACTTTTAATGTATTACTGGTATTTTAGTTACTTTTCTTGTTCTTTACACAAAATCCCTGATACCCAAAGTTAAAGGAAGAAAGATTTATTTCAGCTCACAGTTTATAGAGGTTTTAGTCCATAGTCGCTGGGCTCCAATGCAGGGCCATATGGCAGAGGGGCATCACAGAGGAGAAACGGTCTATGGCAAAGCAGGGCAGGCAGAAGGCAGCCAGCAGTGAAGTGGCAAACAGCAAGTGATGTCAGCAGCTCTCTTTGTGTCCCTTATATTCTGTCAGGTTAATTAGCTACTCAGAGGTGGGTAGCACTCACACCCAGGGTGAGGCATCTTTAATCCTAGCATTGCACCATTAATCCCTGCATCACAAATCCTAGATCCAGCCACCTCCAAAAAGCCTCACCTGTGACCGAATGAAGCTTTGGGGGGACATTAGATATAAGCCATAACAAATGGTAAATCTCAAAAATTGGCCATATTGCCTTGAGAAGGAAACAGTCCAAAGAATGCTAATTTTTTGATGACTATAGACTTTAATTTCTATTTTTTCTTTTAGTTGGCTGTCTGGAATTCTATATATCTACAGTCCTCAGGTATGGGCTTGCTGCTTGCGATATATGTTCAGTTCTTCTATTCAAGAAAGGCAAGTGATATTTTATTCTGTACTATTTTAGTTTGGTCTTTACCCCCCATTTATATTTTCTTGGTCTCATTTAAAATTCATGAAGCATTTTAACGTTTTATACTACTTACAAAGACACACCTTAAGAAAAACAAACCTTATATAAATGGAAATAAAGCCAAACAAAAATGGTGAGGTGATAGAGTACCTGGAAATGTCACAGGATCCACTTGACTAACCACAGAACTGTAAACAACACACATTTTTTTAAGATGAAAGAAACCTTTTAAAGATCATCTGTAGTAGTGTTTTATTTTATAAAATACAGAGATTAACTTTCAGTGAAATGACTGAAAATGAGTTTGAATTTGTGTAAGCTTTTTGTCAAAATACATGAGAATAACAAAGGATGAAAGGTTTGTTTTGACTCAGTTTCAGAGGTTTCAAGTCCACAGTCGGGGGCTCCATTGCTTTTAGTCCCGTGGTAAGACACAAACGCGGAAGAGCAAAACTGCTCACCTCATGGTAGTAAAGAAGCAGAGAGTAAAAAAGCCGGAGAGGAAGAGGCTGGGGACAAGATATAGACCCCAAAGGCATGCACTCTACCCTACTTCCTTCAGTGAGCCCCCATCTCCTCTAAGGTTCAATTACTTCCCAGTAATGCCATCAGATTATGAACTCATCAGTGTACTAATCCACTAATGAAATTAGAACCCTTGTGATTCTGTCACTTTTGAGAAGCCCCACCTCTGATTTCATGACACTTTTGGACCCAAGCCATAACAATGTGTTGCCTTACAAATGTATACAAACCTACCACTCGTACATTAAAAAACATTTGAAAAAAGATGTTTAATTTTCTTCCTGGAACTAAAACATAAACATTAGAAGTAATAGTTGGGGAAACTATTTCTAGTTTCAACTCGTTTGATTTTATTTTAATTTTATACATAATGCTATTACTTGCTTTTTACCTTTTTTATCTACTAAATGAGATGTGTTTTTGTCTCCATTAAATGGCTGTAAAGTACATTAAAAATAACTTTCATTGAAAAGGCACTACAGTGCATGGCAATAAGTTAGACACACCTAAAGATACACAATAAAAGTAAATCTCTTCATTTCCACAGACCCATTCTCAGAGGCAGTCATTGAACTGTGTTTTGCTTTTCCTTTTGTGGAAACAGTACATACACAAGTACCACTTTCCCTCACAAATGGAAGCATGCCATTCTTTTCTTATATCACCTTTTTCTTTATATTATACTTTGCAGGTCAGTGTAGCTTCACATATACAGATTTAATGCACACATTTTACAACTGAATGGTATACATTATAAACTAAAACCTAGTCCTTTTGCACTTACGGGTAATAATAGATTGAATATTTTATGCATACCTCTTTGTGTGCATATACAGTACTAATACATTTGTAGGATAATTTTCAGAAAGTGCCCCCCCCAAATGGTAAGTAATTTTAAATTTCGGTGTTAAAAAACTATCAATTCATAATCTGTACAACAGTGTATAAGTTCACATGTTTTTTTCACTCCCTGATACTCGAAGCAAATATTTACTGAGTACCTTTTATATACCAAGCACAGTTCATGATATTGGGATTAAATAGTAAACAAAGTACAGATCTTACAGAGATAGGTACTAACCAGAATAGGAAAGATAAATACTATTTTTAAAAGTGGTGAGCTGTGAACCAATAGAAAGCCAGGCAGGACAGGAGGATGTGCAAATGAAAGCAGTAAGTAAAAAGATGTATTGTTATTGTGGAACTGGGGCTTGTCCTTGTTGCCCAGACTAGTTTCAAACTTCTGAACTCAGGTGATTCTCCTACTTAGGCTCCCAAATAGCTGGGAGTATGAATGCATGTCATTGTGCCAGCAAGAGCTGCAGTTTTGAATAACGGGTCAAATCTTTTTTGCCCATAGGCTTTGCCAAAGAAGCGGTTTTTTTAATCTTTATTTTTTTAATTAGTACTTATTTGTCACATTAATTTGATCACATTAATCATAGGGAATTTGTACCTGCACATAATACATATCTTGATTCTTCTTCCCCCACCCCATTCCCCTGCCCTCCTTTCAACCCTTCTTTCCCTTCCCATCTACAAAAGCTTTGTTTCCATTTTTTCCTTGTATTTTCTTTTCCCTTCCTTCCCTTCCCTTTCTCGCCTCCCTTGTTCCCCTTTCCACTTGAACGTGTTCTTTGTGCTTCCCAGTATCTATCCTCTGTGATGCTCATATATCCTTAAGGTTTCTCACACGAGAGAATGCATTATTTAAACGTGTGTCTCATTTATTTCACTCAAGATTATGGCCTCCAGGTGCATCCATTTTCCTACTGATGACTCAAGTTTGTCCTTTATGGCAGACTAGTACTCCACATTTTCTTTATTCATTCATCTATTGATGGGTATATGAGCTGTTTCCAAGATTTAGCTATTATAAATTGTGCTGCTTTCAACACGCGTATTCATATATCACTGTGGTTTGATGCTTTTAACTGTTGTAGGAAGGGGAGCAGCTAGGTCAAATGGAACCTCTAGTTTTTGTTTTGTTTTGTTTTGTTTTGTTTTTGAGGAATCTCCATACTGCTTTCTATAGTGGTTGCACCAGTTTACACTCCCACCGGTAATGAAGAAGGGTTCCTTTTCCCCCACAGTCTTGCCAGCCTTTGCTATTGGTTGATTTCTTGATAGCCATTCTTTCTAGAATATAAGATGGAATCTCAGTGTTTTAATTTGCGTCTCTTGAATAACCAATGATGTTGGGCCTTTTTTCATACATTTATTTGCTGTTTGTACTTCTTCATATAAGAAATCTCTCTTCATTTCAGATACTCAGTTTTGGATTGGGTCTTTAAGTTTTGGGGGTTCTGGTTTTTGTTTTTGTTTTTGTTTTTTTTAGTTCTTTATATATTCTAGATGTTAGTCCTTTGAGGAGTAGCTGGTAAAGTTTTTTGCTCATTTTGTATGTTCTTTCTTCACTTTGTTGGTGATTTCTTTTGCTGTGTAAAAGCTTTTGAATCTGATGTGATCCCAGTTGTTGATCCTTTGTAATATATCTATCCTGTGTGATTGGAGTTTTGTTTAGTCTTTGCCTACACCTGTGTCTACAAGAGTTTTACCTATTCTATCATCCAGCAATTGCTTGTTTTAAAATTTAGATCTTTGAAGCAGAAGCATTGTTAAAGTCTCTTACCACTACTTTCCTGCTAAACCAGTGTTCTAACTCCCCTGAGCAGCTGCAGAAGCTCTTCATTGGAGGACCAACATTTGAAACCACTGATGCGAGTCTGAAAAGCTATTTGGAGCAATAGGGAACACTCAGGATGGTGGTAATAAGAAATCCAAACACCAAGCACTTCAGGGGCTTTGCTTTTGGTGACGATGATTTTGCTCATGGAGGATAATGGTGTGGTGGCTTTGGTGACAGATGTGGTGGTGAATACAGTGGCAGTAGGGATGGCTACACTGGTAACGATGTAAGCACTTTTGGTAGTGTTAGAAGCTCCAGTGCTTTTGACAATTACAAATCTACAGATTTTGGACCCATGAGGAGAGGAAGGAACCTCTCTTTAGAAGCTCTGCTCCCTATGATGCTGGAGGCCAATTCTTTGCCAAGCCACAAAACCAAGGTGACTGTGGCACTTCCAACAGCAGCCACTAACTATGGTAGTGTCAGAAATACTGGCAGAAAACGGCTTAGCAGGAAAAGAGATCCAAAGGAATAACAGGGTCACAATAGATGTGTGAATTTAGCCAAGCACAGTTGTAGCAGGGCCTACCTGTGACAAACACTTGTCTTAGACAATATTCATGTATATGAGCAAAAAACTCAAGGACTATATTTGTGGCTAATAGTATAAAAGGTTATTTTAGTTCCGTGGAAATGATAAAGCATTCAAACCAAGGGTTCCGATTGCCTTTTTTTCTTGCTCCTATAATGTTGAATGCTAAATTTGATGATGTGATTATGATGTGGAATACATGTGTCTTTTAAAAAAAAAAACAAAAAAACGAGGTGGTCAGGGAAGACAAGGAAAAAGCTGTGTTGCTTTCTGAGGTAATGCCTCAGGCATAGGATACAGTAACTACAAAGGCCCTGGGTAAAAGATGACTTTTAATTTGATGGAACTGCAAGATCCTTTGTAGAGAAGGGAAGAGAGGCAGGTGAGTTGAGAAAGGAAGGAACTGTTAGGACTCTCCCAATGTTTTATACTCCTGGGAACTATTCTTATCTTTTCCATTTGCTCTTGGATTGTGCTGCTTTTTGGGGGGGTACCTGGAATTGAACTTGGGACCTTGAGCTTGCAAGGCAAGAGGCAGCATCACTGAGCTAAATCCCCAACCCTGTGCTTCGTTTTCATATTAATTTGTAAGGTCTCTCTTTCCTTCTCCCTTTTCCACTCTCCCTTCTTCCTCTCTTCTCTCCCATCCCCCCTTCTCCCCTCTTTTTTCTCTTGCTATATAAAATACAGACTACATATTAATATATAATAATATATGTAAAAATCTCAAAAATTTCCTTGATTGCTGTTTTATTTACTTTTTGTTAACAGTATTTTTTTCCAGACCTTATTTTTTGTCCCTGGGAATCCAACCCAGGGCCTCATTCATTCCAGGCAAGGATTCTACCACTGAGCTATGTGCCCAGCACCAGAATTTTTTAAAAATTAATTTTATTGGTACATTTTATATTTATTTATGTGTGTGTGTGTGTGTGTGTGTGTGTGTGTAAAACAGTCATCACATGGAATATGAATATAGCTTTATTTTTCCCCCTTTCCACACCCTCTCTTTATCCCTCTTCCCCTCCTTATTTAAAAAGCTCTGTTGCCATTTTTTCCTTCAGTTTGCTTTTTCCCTTTTCCTTTCCTTCATTTTCCCCTCTGCCCTCTCTAGTTCTCCTTCCCATTGGAACATTTTCTTCCTATTTCACAATATCTGTTATGCATTTTACACTGTTGGTTTCCCACACCAGAGAAACTGCAATATTTGAACATATGTGTCCAATTTATTTATAGTCTCAAGGTGCATCCATTTACCTAGGAATGTCTCAAGTTTATCCTTTATGGCAGAGTAGTACTCCACTATATAAAAAGCATATCTTAGCTTTTTTTCTTTTTGGTACACTTGCAGTAGATTTTTTTTTTAAATTTTTTTTAAATTTTTTTTTTTTTTTGTACTGGGGATTGAACTCAGTACTTTGTGCCTGCAAAGCAGGCAGCAGAACCACTGAGCTAAATCCCTGGCCCTGCAGTAGAATTTTTTAAAGTTATATTTACCTTTTTTCTATCTTGCTTAGAATATATTTGCCTATTCTAGGACTTTTTTTTAAGACAGGGTCTCATTGTGTAGTTGAGACTGACCTGGAACTCACTATGTAGCCTGGGCTGGTCTCGAACTCATAGCGGTCCTCCTGCCTCATCCTCCCAAAGGGTGGGATTACAGGCATGCGCCACCATGCCTGGTTTAGGACTATTATTTTTAAATGTCTGATATCTTCAGATGCTTTCATAGTTCTACTTTTACATTTTATTTTGCCTTTGCAATAGAATTAGTTTTATTTGTAATAAAACAAATGTTAGTTTTTCATTCTTTTCTATAATTAGTATAGTTAGATGTTATCTCTCATGTGCATGCGTGTGCACATACACACACACAGTTTTTGAAACAAGATCTAACTCACTAAGTTGCCCAGTCTGCGGTCAAACTTACAACCCTCCTGCCTCAGCCTCTCACAGTACTAGGATTACAGGTAAACATCACCACATGTGTCTTCAGTTAAGTTGTGTTATCAATTACTGATTTGGGGCTAAGTTTTGAGAGTAAATACCTAGTAAAATTAATTTTGAAGCATTCTTGTTGTCTTCTCTTTTTTTTTGGTACTGGGGATCGAACTTGGACCCTTGTGCTTGTGAGGCAGTTGAAGCACTCTTATTCTGTGTTCCATCTGAAGTATTCATTAGGCAATTTCTTTGATAGCAGAATTCTTAATTATTGCCATAATTTAAGTTGGTATGTGGGTAGTATAATGAACCAAAGTTCTCTATAATTCAACTTTTGTGTGTGTGGTACCAGGGATTGAACTTGGGACCTTGTGCTTGCTAGGCAGGATGTAGAACCACTGAGCTAAATCCCTGGCCCATATAATTCAACTTTTATAAATAGTACATAACTACTAAAAGTATTTTTAGACAGTCAATTTTGGTTTTTGTAGTTCTAAGGACTTTTTTCTTTTGTATGCATAGTATTGGAGATAAATCCAGAGCCTTTGCACTGAGCTATATCCCCAACCCTTTTGTCAATTTTTAGTTTTGAGATGAGGTCTTGCTAAGTTGCCCAGACTGGGCTCATACTTGTAGTCATCTTGCCTCCGCCTTCCAGAGTTCTGGGATTACAGGCATATGGTACCATGCCTGGCTTTCAATGACTCTTGGTGACTTTACAAATAAACATTCAGAAATATTTGTTCAATCATTTAGGATATAATAAAAATGTTAATTTTGCCAGTGTTAATAGTAGTGAAATATAGTAAACAATTTATTTTTAAAAGTCTTTGAGAACTGATAATGGCACAAGTATAAAATGAAATACTAGGCAGTCACTAAAAAAATAAGATCTGAGTATAATAAAGAATAGTGACAAGGATAGAGATATGATAGCTTGTCATAAAAATAGCAGTTGCAAACAACAAGGTCTAAGGAAAAATTCTGGGAGACATTATTTTGAGATTTTCTTCGTTACTTTTCTTGTTGCTGAAACAAAATACCTGACACCCAGAGTTAAGGGTGGAAAGGTTTATTTGGCTCACGGTTTGCAGAGGTTTCAGTCCATAATTGGCTGGGTCCAAGTCAGGGTGGCATGGCAGATGAGCATTGCAGAGGAGAGATAGTTCATGGTGGGGAGAAGGTAGCAAAGTAAGCAAGCAAACAAGCAAAGGACCTTAACAGCTTCTTTCTGCCCATTTTATACTCTGTCTAGGCTACCAGGTTTGGGGTGGTGCCAAACCAATCAGTGGACTTATTTAGTAATCATGTACCCTTAATCCCAGTATCACACACTGTAAATTCTAAGGCCATCTCTGAAAATCCCCCACCTATGACTGCATGAGGGTTTGGGGGGACATCTAGACACAAGCCATAACAGAAATGGAGTCACACTATGTTTCTCTGGTGATTCTCAAAGTCTTGGGCTCAAGTGGTCCTCCTGCCTCAGCCTTCTAGGAATACAGAAGTGAGCCACTGTGCCTGAACTCTAAAAGTATATATACTAACCTGGAGATTGGGGTGGAATAGTTTTCACTTTGTTTATTCCTGTTTTATGTGATGGCTTTTATAAGGTATATATTTCATAATAAGTATACTTTAATTAAAAATATGAATATAAAAAATAAATTTGCTCCTAATTTTCTTTTAATCATTGTATTCTTATTCTGTTAACTAGATTGGGAAACTTCCCTGGGGGGGAGGGTTGAGTATAATCTTGTTATCTTCATTAAATTTTAATTAAATGGCATTTTTTTTGTCTAGGGTTTTTTCAGAATCTGGAAATTTCATCATAGTTCTCTATTCCTTGACACATAAGGAACCAGAGTTTTATGAATGCCACCCTTGTGATGACAGGATAGCTGATCTTCAATTTCGCTTACTAACCAGCAAGGAAACGTTGCATCTTTTCAGTGTAAGTGATTTGATTGCCCAGTACATTAATAAATATTTCTTCTATTTTGGCAGTTTAAACCTGATGGCATTTACCCTTTAAAATGGTAATTCAAACTATTGGACTTTATTTATCATCAGTCTCACTAAATATTAACTTTATTCATTTATGATTAATTTTTGTTTAATGAGTCCTAGGCCATATCTCCAGAACCAAATTATAATAGGATTCAAAGGTTATCCACCAACCAACTTGACTGTACTTTTCTAAACTTTGAGGAATCTGTCAGTCGTTAATATGTTCTATCATTATGTACTACTGAGAATTAATTTTGTGATTTTTATGTTTTGGTAATTTAAAAAATATTTAGATATAACAAATTAAATATATACATATGATTTTCACACTTAAAATTCAATATTTATATAATATAATCCAAAGAGTGGGAATAAATTGTTGCTATAGCTAATAAACTACATAAAAATGCACCTAGGTGAAGACCACCAAAAAAGTAGATCTTTAAAACTGTAAATGTCATCATATAAAAACTAAAGGCCACTGTTTTTAAACAAAAATATTTACTACCTCTAAACAACCATGTGTTTCCCTTCAAATCTGTGTTGTCTTTTGAGACAGGGTCTCTTTTTGTAGTTCAGACTGACCCTGAACTCACTATGTAGCCCAGGCTGGCCTTGAACTTGTGATCTTCCTGCCTCAGCCTCCCAAGAGGTGGAATTACAGGCATGTGCCACCACACCCACCTCCCCTCAGATCTTGTTTTATATTTTGATTTAATTTTTAAGTTATATACGTCCATGAATATATTTTTTATATTTTAATTATAATCATCTTAAATTGGATCTAATAATTTATTTCTGTTTTACAGATATATATCATTTATCTTTTATTTAGATGGCATCCTCAGTTCATAATTGTATTCACTAAATCTCTGGTCACCAAGTAATACAGGTGACTAAATTTTCACTTTTATTTATAAAACAGAGAAGTGGGGAAGTGAACATTTAATAAAAGAAAGTTTAAGAACTGAGAAGTACCCCATTTCCAGTGTTTTGGAGCTATTTTTAATCTAAACAGAATTCTCTCGTATTTTTATTTGAGTCAAATTTCAATTTATAACCTACTTCATTTCAGAATGTTCAACCTTCTGACAAAAATCCGATCCGTTTTGAACTAAGTTCAGAAAGCCAAGATGCAGAAACTGAGTTTTTCAGCAAAATTTCTAAGAGTCTTTCAGTTAAGAGGTAAAAAGATAACTTTTAATTATCATCTGTACTTTCTGTTATAGTCATTAGTTTTTTTATGAATAATTAAAGTGACTTCAATTATTTCTAATTAAACTCTGAAAATCTTATATACCATAGTTGTCTTTCCATTAAATGAATTCCTTCATAGTCCTAGGCAACTGGATTATAATTTTAGTAAAAGATGGGTATAATTTTTATTGGAGTTGATTTATTATGTAGGAAAACAAAAAAAAAATGACAATACTTGTGACATTGCCTAGGAAGTAGGATGCTGTTGTGTGATGCCCTTTTTTTTGGTACCGGGGATCAAACTTGAGTCCTTGAGCTTGCAAAGCAGGCACCAGAACCACTAAACTAAATCCCTGTCCCCCTAGTGCCTTTTGTTTATTCTTCCTTTCCTTTTAATTTTAGACCTGGGCCTATCAGATAAACTACTGTAAAAATAACTACTAAAAAAAGATAGTTTGTTTAAAAACTTCTAAAACAAACATCCTTGGAAAGGTTAAATAAGGGCTTATGATTTCTTAGGTCATTCTATCTTGCCTTTTATGGTAAAGAGGATGCTCCCTTGTATTATTCAGGGTTCTCTAGAGAAACAGAAACAGTACGATGTGTATATATGCAGTCAGATGTTTGTTTTAAGGGACTGACTCCTGTAATTATGGAGGTTTGACAAGTCCAACCCCTGCAGGGCAGGCTAGTAGGATGGAGAACCAGGCAAGAGATGCAGTTTGAGACCAGAGGCCATCTACTGGCAGAATTCCCTGTCCTTCCATGGAAGTCAGTCTTTTTGTTAAGGCGTTCTGCTGCTAGGATAAGGCCACCTGTATTATGGGGAGTACTGCTTTACTCAGTCTAATAATGATTTAAATGTGGAACTCATTGAAAAAAATACCTCCACAGAAACATCTAAAATATTTTTACTGTAAACCTAGTCACACTGACACATAAAATTAACCATCTCATCTCTAATATAGCTTTTTCACTGTATTCTACTGTGTGCCAGGTAATGTGCTGTGGATGTGGCAGTATACCAGATGGATACATAGTCTTTCCCTCATGGGATTTATAGTTTGGTGATAGAGTGTTGTCTATATTATTTAATGAGTCCATTGATTTGGAAACTTAGTTAAAAGCTGCTATCAAATGCTGGTTTCTTAAAGAAAAGAATGTTAGTTTATTCTTTGACTCTTTAGAAAGTATTGTTATTTTTAATTCATCCTGGTAGTTAACTTTACTGTTTCCCAGCTTCTTGACTAATATAAGCCTCTCTCTTATCCCCTTTAATTTAATACTGTGTGTTTAGACAGTAATAATACTGCATGAGATCAGCATTTAAGAGGCTGAGGCAGGAGGATCACCATGAGTTCAAGGCCAGCCTGGGCTACATAGGGAGATCCTGTCTCAAAAATTAAAAAAGAAGAAAACAAATTTCATTTGAAACAAGCAGATGTAAAGTAGCTTTTCATTATTGATTATTGGAATCTATCTTTTTGAGAAAATAACGTGTGTGTGTTGCTTGGGATTGAACTCACAGCCTCGTACGTGGTAAGCAAGTGTTCTACTACTGAGTTACACACCCAGCCTTGATTTGTTTTTTAATATGGAATGATTCATCTGCCCTAACACTTGATTCTTTAGGTGGAAATTAACTATGGTACATGTTTCAAATAAATGGCAACTATGCCAACTCTTTAGAGAGGCAGTATAACAAAAATAATCGTGAGCTCAGGTTATGGTACAGACATATCTGTGGTCAAGCCTGGTTCTAAACATCAGCATTCCATTTGTAAAATGAAACTACAAGTGCATCTCTGTTAGTTTCTTACTGCTACTGTAATAAATTACCACACACGTAGTACCTTCCAAAAGCACAGTTATCTTAGAGTTGTGGAGGCTGGAAGTTCAAAATAGGTGTTTGAGAAGCCTGTGTTTCTTTTTTAGACTCTAGGGATAATCTGTTTTATGTCCTTTTCCAGCTTCTGGATACCACCTGTGTTCCTTGTCACATAACTGCTTATTCCATTTTCAAAGCCAATAGCATAGCATCTTCCTGTTTCCCTTCCCTCCCTGCCAGGCTTCCATCCTCACATTGCTTTCTCTGAGTCTAATCCTCTTACCTCCCTCTACAAGGACCCCTGTTATACTGGGCTCACCTGGTTAATCCAAAAGTAATCTCCCCACCTGATCCTTAATTTGATCTTACCTGAAAACTTCCATTTACAATATTCAGAAGTACCAGGGATTAGAAAGATGTCCGCAGGATGCCCTGTCCTTTGGACATACTAAATTATCCTTGACAGAGTAGATCATTGAAAACTATACTTTCTAATGGCTTTTTAGGAACTCCTTAATTGCCTTGAATCTAAAGGTTTTATTAAAAATTTTCTTGAATGTTTTTGGAAAAGGCAAATTAGGGAAACTTTTATAATTTCTTTATTAATGTTGTTGAAACCCTGCTTGTTTTCAACTCTGACCAAAGCTTTAGTCAAGATCAGTCATTTTAGAGTTCAGCAAAATGTTTCTTGCTTAAAGAGCTGGTACTATAAAGTTTTTCCTTTTTTCCCTGGGGTGCTAAAAAAGGTAGGAAATGAATTTGATCATTGTGTCAGCAATTTGTGTGTGTATGATAAATAAATATGTAGTTGATATTAATTCTGTGCCACAACTCGTGCATAAAAATGTTTTTTTTGTTGTTGTTTTTTTTTTTTTTTTGTTTTTTTTTTTTTTTTGTTTTTTTTTTTTTTTTGTTTTTTTTTTTTTTTTGTTTTTTTTTTTTTTTTGTTTTTTTTTTTTTTTTGTTTTTTTTTTTTTTTTGTTTTTTTTTTTTTTTTTTTTTTTTTTGGTACTGGGGATCGAACTTGGGTCCTTGCACTTGCAATGCAGGCACCAGAACCACTGAGCTAAATCCCTGGCCCTATAATTTGTTTTTGTGATTGGATGTACTTGAACTGAATCAAATTTCCCTGTAAGGCCAACATTGAATTTGATTCAGTTCTTGTCCAATTTGGTTTGCGACCAGAACTGTGGAAAGAATTAAGTTTGTGAACTGAGAGGTACCACTGCATTTTTAATCCTTATTCTTTTACTGGGTTGAAGAAACCAAATTTCGGTGAATTCATGGTCCTTTTTTCCCTTTCCTATGGGGTTATATGTAATGTAATGGCGTGCCAGTACTGGTAACAAGTGGTGACCTGATTCTCATCCATTGGTGCCGCTGTCTGCTAAGATATTTTCATGTGCACCTGATCGTTGCCAGGTTTGTACATGTTCCTGCTGCAATCCCTTTGACCCTATTGAGGTCGCTAGCTCATGTCATGTGTGTGTTGCACTAAGCATGGGATATCATTCTGTATTACACAAGTTCTTGGATGCTGGAGAGCTTTGTGGAGCAGAACAGTTCCATCTGCTTAAACACACCTTGCAGATATTCTCATTTGCTTCATTGTCATACCCTGCACAGAAAGATCTTTCTTTAAGTCTACTTTGAGCTTGCTTGTTGATTTGTTGTCCTTCTGCTAGAAGAATTCAACTTGGCTAAAACAAGATGCAGGATACTTTCTTAGGAACCTCATTAATTCTAAGTTTATTTGGTTTAGGATGCAAAAAATCATGTATGTAGTATTTCAAATCTTTAGTCTTAAACTCTAATTTCAATTTTTGAAATTCTGTACTGACTAACTTTCTGTATTCTGCTAGAATATGCCATCTGTGATACAAGACTACAGCTAACTAAAAAGGAGGTGATACCTCAATGTCTCAAAGTGTTTTCCCACCACAGATACAAAAATAAAAATGTTATTTTTCAATCATTTTTCTTTTTAATACAATGAGCATTTAATGCAGTATTTAATACTATTGATGTACATGTCTGTTGCCAGGTTATAAATGTTTTTATATTACATACCAAGTCTTATTTCTACATTCCTCAATATGTCTGAGAAAGAACTCAGGGCCTGTTGATTTATCATGACATTAACATTATAGGGTTAAACTTGTCATGTTCGGGCAAACAGGATAGTTAAATAATCGTAAATGTGAGGAGGCCAGTTTTTCTGGTCAGCTAACATTGATTGAAAAAACCTAAATCTGTGGTTGTCAGATATGACTTAAAAGATTCAGGTATTTCTTATCAAGGGACTTTATTCCATTTCAAATAGGAAGAAGGAAAAAAATCCTAGATTGTTTAAAGATTTTTCTTGTCTCCCCTTCTACTCTTTAGATTTTCCCAAAAGTTAATTCCTGGGGAAATACCAATAAGTAATCCTGACCCTGGTGTTGAAGATGAAGACTTTTCTCCAAGACCGATTCCTAGTCCTCATCCAGTGAGCCAGAAGGTATCACTGAACTCACTTCTGTGAATTCGCTTCTGTGGTTAGAGACCTGAAAGTCTCTTCATGTTAAAGCACTAAACAGTACCTAGAACTTGTTTAAGTATTATTCTAGCTCCCTAAATCTATTTGGTTTTATCTATATAGAGATGTATATAAGGTGTGATTGAAAAACAGTAGATTTTTAAATTTTTATTACAATAGAAGACATTGCCATTAATCTCCCTCAAACTATTCCCCCTCACTTCAACCAAGCTTATACTATTTTTGCCACTTTTTTTTTTTTTTTTTTTTTTTTTTTTTGTGGAGACAGTCGTGCTATGCAGCTCAGGCTGGCCTTGAACTCACTGTGTAGTCCAGTCTGGCTTCAGACTCAATGGAGATCCTCCTGCCTCATCCTCCCAAGTGCTGAAATTACAACCACGCTAAGTGGCCTTTACCACTTTCTGAAGCAGTTCAGGAAGTCTTCTTTCATGTCTTTTTAGTTAATTGTTGTGGTTTCCTTGATGTCCTGGTCATTTTGACTTTGGAAAAGAACTAGAAGTCTAATGGTGCCAAGATGCTACTAAATAACGTGGACAAGGGCGCACCGTAGTGTTTTTATGATGCTGCCTTTATACTGAATGGCACTCAACAGCAGCATTCACCCATATATGTGATCATACCTCATGAAGATACCCAAAGAAAACTTCCAGAATTGTTTTAGAAAGTGGCACTAGGATAAAATAATTGTGTTCAAAGCAAGGAGGAGTGAGGGAATATTTTCAAGGAGGATTAATAGCAACATGTAATAAACTTTTATTTAAACATTTACTGTATATTTTGATCACTTCATAATCTTCACAGATACATATAATTGTTATTACGTGTAATAATATATGTTCACATATGTATAATATATACATAATTAGCACATATACTTACTCCCAGAAAAAAATTGGCCTAGATTGGTTAAGATACCTGCTCAAGGTCACTCAACTTGTCAGTAGTAAAGTTGGGATTCTAATTCAGGAGGTTTGGTTCTGGAATCTGAGCTTCCCACAACCCAATAAAATCAGCAATCTGTATACTCACCAAACCTTGACATTGGTTTTTGTCACTATATTCTGAGAAAACATTCTGTTTGCATTCAGAAGTCATTTGCTAAAACCTGTCATAATTTTGGTGGGGGGTAAACGGGGATTGAACTCAGGACCTTGTGCTTGCAAGGCAAGCGCCATACCACTGAGCTAAATCCCCAGCCCTGTCATAATTTTTTGATTGCTGCCAGCCAGTGGGTTATTTTAGAATTGTTGTTTATCTTTTTTTTTTTTCTTTTTATTGAGTTTATTGGTACAATCTAAGTATACAATACAGTTACATTCATCATTGGGATCTTGCACCTTTACATGACAGGTCTTGGTTCTCATTTTTTCCCCTTGTCCCTGACCTCCCTTCACCCCACCCCCATATACAAACACTTTATTTCCATTTTTTCATTTTCTCATATTTTTTTCTTTTCCCTTGTTCCCTTTCCCCTACCCTTCCCACTTTCCCTACACCTTTAGGGAATTGTTGTTTATCTTAATTGAACTAGTTACTTCAGAAGAAAAAGGAACGGAAAAGATTTTTTTTAATTAATATCAAAGTATAACAAATTCACTGGGGGGGGAGTGTTTTGTTTACACTTTTCTGTTCTCTTCCATCTCTTAATTGATTTCAGTAGAAATAACAGAGTTAACTTCACTTAGTAACAAAATATTTTGAAATATTGGGAGGTTACCTTGTTATTTAAGATACATAAACATTTACAATTAGATCTGCTGAAGCTGTCTGCCTGTTACAACTTTTCAGAGTGTAAAAACTATTTTCTGTGTTTATGTGTTCTGTGACCTAAGCAATGTTCATCAGTTATCCAACAAAAGTAATTCTATTATTAAATGAGTTTGGGAGATGCTTAACTATATTCTTTGAGGGCAAAGCCTTGTTTATTTTCTCACAGTTGTGCTTTTACCTACGGTCATAGAAGAGTTGCCAAGAAAATACATTGATGGTCTAAATAATGAATAATTTTTAATTCATAATTGAGTGTTACTTTGGAAACCTGGTCTAAGGAAAGAAAGCAAGGCATATCTCTCTCCCAAAAGTTTCTTCTTTCTTTCTCATTTATAGATTTCTAAGATCCAGCCATCAGTTCCTGAACTTTCACTTGTATTCGATGGCAATTTCAAAGAATCAAATCATCTGTCTAACACATTGGCTTTGGTGAATACTGAAAATCCTCCTTTGTTGACCAGCCATTCTGAACACTTGAAGCCCTTGCAACCTGAGTTACATGACGAGAAATCCAGCCCAGAAACTGAGGCTGCACAGATACCAAATCAGTTAACCCAGGATACTGCTTCTTTGAAGCACTATAAAGTAAAACAGCCATCTACCTGTAAGAAAGGGAGCTCCTATTTGGGGAATGATATTGTTAAACCATGTCCTCTTAATGTGCTACCCCCTGATGTATCTGAGAAGCTTCAGGCGGTTGTTGCTGGAAATGTCCAAAAAGAAGAGTGCCCTGGAAGACCCTCTACATTTGAGTCTAGGCAGTCTTTTCTTGCTTCACAGTCCTACCCACACAATTTTGTTTTTTCACCCTGTCAATCAGGAAGACCAGTGGAACTTCAGATACCTCCTCCACCGCTGCCATCTTACTCCACGAATGTTTGCCGCTGTTGTCAGCATCACAGTCATATTCAACCTAGCCCCATAAATTCTTGGAAAGGGATAAATACATTAGGGCCTGTTCAAGATTTCCAGTCGGAAGCACTTCAGAAGCATTCATTATTTCACCCAAGTGGATGTCCAGCTCTGTACCATAATGCATTCTGTTCTTCAAGTAGTCCTCTAGGCTTGAGACCTCAGGGAGGCATGGACAACAGTAGAGAAACATCACCTGTGGTCAGGCCGTCCCATCTGGACTCGTGTAACCCACACCCTTGTGCGTTGTGTACACACACACCCACGACTGGGTCAGATAACGGAATGATGGGATTATCTCCAGATGCTTATCGATTCGTCACAGAGCAAGACAGACAGCTGAGACTACTTCAGGCGCAGGTTTGCTTGGAACTTGCTTAGTTTTACTAAATTTTTGGTGTTAATATGGCTTTTTTTTTTTCTTTTTTTAAAATTGAGTTTATTGTTACGTATTAGGTTACAGTACAGTTACATTCATTATTGGGATCTTGCACCTTTACATGACAGGTCTTGGTTCTCATTTTTTCCCCTTGTCCCTGCCTTCCCTTCACCCCCTCCTCCCCTCCCCATTTACAAACATTTTATTTCCATTTTTTCATTTTCTCACATTTTTTTTCTTTTCCCTTATTACCTTTCCCCTACCCTTCCCACTTTCCCTACACCTTTAGCACTTTTCTTCCTATTTCACATTGTCAATTATCTCATTAGGATCTTATGTACTATTATAGCTTTTCACACCACAGAAACTATTTGGTATTTATACGTCTGGCTTATTTATTTCACTTAAGAGTATATCCTCAATATGTTTGTAATAGCTAAAACTTGAAAACAGCCCATTTGCCCATCAGTTGGAAACTGGATAAAGAAGATGTGGTTTTCTATAAAATGGAATACTACTCAGCCATAAAGAATGAGAATCTTAGGGCCGGGCTCAGCGGTTCAGTGGCCTGCCTCCTGAGTTCAGTCCCGGGTACCAAAAAAAAAAAAAAAGAATGAGAAATTAGATGCATTCATAGGAAAATAGATACTTATTAATATGGTTTCTTAAAAACTGGAAACATGCCGGGTATGGTGGCACATGTGTAATCCCAGCACTCTGGGAAGCTGAGGCACAAGGATCACAAGTTTAAGCCCAGTTTGATTCTAGCAACTTAGTGAGACCCTGTCTCAAAATGAAAAAGGACCAAGGATTTAGCTCAGTGGCATTGTGCCTCTCTCAGGCACAAGGTCCTGAATTCATTTCCTGGTACCAAAAAGAAAAAAATAGGTTTTGGCATGTAGGTCAGTGCAAAGGCCCTGGGATCAATACCCAGTACCAAAACAACAAAAACTGTGAATGTCATCACTTATGTTTTACAGAATTGTAGAATGACAGACAGCTATAAAGATATAGAAGAAAATACATTTTTATAGCATACTGACTAATTTTAGGCCCTTAAAGTATATCTTATTGAATGCTGCTTATATGATCTTCCTAAACCTCACTCTTCTGTAAAATCGGAGAGATAATCTATAGATTTATAGGTTGAATGAATTTACATAGGGCACACTAGGGCTTATGCCTGTAATCTCTTCGAGGCTGAGGCAGAAGGATCACAAGTTTGAGTCTTGCCTGGGTAACTTAGGGAGGCTCTGTCTCAAAATTTAAAAATGAAAAAAGATAGGGATATAAATTAGTGTGAAGGCCCTGAGTTCAATCCCCAGTGCCACCAAAGAAAAAAAAAGGTTAAATGAGTTGATTAAAAAGAGCTTTGTGTAGGACTGCTCTAAGTTAGAACTTATTCATCTTTTTTAATGACTCACAACAACCTTAATGTTAGGTGATACTGAAACTCATTGGAATTAAGTAACTTTCCCAAAAGGTAGCAGAGTACATTTTGTTTGTTTGGTTTTAGTTTTATTTTTTATTTTGAGACAGTTTCTTGCTATATAGTTCAGGCTGGCCTTCAACTCACTATGTAGCCCAGGCTGGCCTCGAACTCCAGCAATCCTCCTACCTCAGCCCTGCAAGTGCTAAGATTACAGATGTGCCACCATGCGCAACTCAGCAGAATAGGATTTAAGCTTATGTGTGTGTGACATCAAAGTTTTTATTCCAAACTACTATAAATATATAACTTTTATATTATTGATTCAGTTTCTCTTTCTGCTGATCTTAATAGTTTATTGATAATGCTTATGTTAAAAAGGTTAATCCACTGAAATTAGTGGTATTAAGTACAGTAGTACTATGCATAGGGAAATAGAAAGTCACATTTAAAAAGGGATGCTCCTCCACTCTGGTATATACTCAAGGGAAATGAGTACAGCGTGTCCACATATAAACCTGTATATAAATGTCCAGAGCAGTATTACTAGCAGCTGTTGAACGGATAAACACAATGTAGAATGTTCATACAATGGAATATTTAGTGATCAAAGGTACTGATAAATGTTATAACATGGTTGAACCTTGAAAACTATACTAAGTGAAAGAAGCCAGACACAATTTTTTTTTTTTTTTTTTTTTGTACCCTGGGTTGAAGTAGGGGGACCTTGCAAGGCAGGCGGCGGCACCACTGAGCTAAATTCCTGGCCCTACAAGGCCATATTTTATATGGTTCTATTTATATGAAATGTCTAAAATGGGCAAATCCATAGAGAGAGTGTTACTGGTCACCAGAGGCTGCCAAGGAGGCAGTGAGAGCCTGCTGATGTTTCACAGAGTCTTGGGGTTTGAAGAAAATGTTCTGGAATGAAATAGTAGTAACGGTTATTGACTATCCTAAGAACTAGTGAATTACTTAAAGTGACTTCTATGACATACAAATTTTATCTTAATTTTAAAAGGAGGAGAAGAGGCTTTTGGTATTAGAACCTCAGTTTTTTGACTTCTTAGTTGTATGACCTGGACAAGTAACTTCAATGCCTCAGTTTTCTTATCTGTAAAATAGTTTCCTAATAGTTTACTCATCCGGGTGTGGTGGTGCATGCCTGTAACCCCAGCATTTGGGAGGCTGAGACGGGAGGAGTTCTGTGAGTTTGAGGTCACTCTTGGCTACGTAGTGAGTTGAAGGCGAGCCTGGACTACTACATAGCAAGACCATGTCCAGAAACAATAACAACAACAAAAGGAATAGTTTGTTCTTCATGAGGTTGTTGTAAAAAATTATACATAAAAATTTGTGATATAGTATCTTACACACAATAAGTGCTCAGTGTTAGCTATTGCTTATTAATGTTTCTAGTTTCAACATGACCAAACATGGGCAAATCTGATGAAGCTTTATAAGAAGAATCTTGTGTAAAATGTTTAGTATGTGGTGTATGGGATTATAGTATTCTTCAATTTTACTTGATTTATAAATGAAGTAGGAATAAAATATTCATTTGTAGTATTAACCATTCATATTTTTCTACGTGAGTGTTAACTTAGGAATACGTTTCTAATTATGTTTTAGTTTTAAAACTATCTTTAGTTTAAATTCTTCTTAATAATTAATGGAATGACTTTCTGTACTAAGTTTCACAGTGTGATCTAATTAGAATGTGGAAAATATAGTTAAACTCTTTATAACGGGGGTGTTTTGTAATTTACACCAGTTTTGTTGAGACCGTCACTTTAAAATATGTTTTCAATTGATACAGATTCAGCGTTTATTGGAAGCTCAGTCTCTCAATCCTATTTCCCCAAAGAAAACCACTGTTGAAGATACAGTGCAAGATACAAGACAGGTGGAACTGGTTTCCATGGCAGCACAACCTTCTCCTGACTTGCACATGAGAAAAAGTGTAAGCATTGCTGTGAGCACAGGTAATTTCATTTCATTTCTTTTCTTTTCTTTTTGGTTTGTGGGAGTGGCTGGGTTTTGTTTTTGTTGTTTGTTTGTTTTGCAATACTGGGGATTAAAACCAGGGCCTTTGCACTCAACTATATCCCTGGCCCTTTTTTTTTTTTTAATTTTTTTTTTTTATTTTAATTTATTTATTTATTTTTAATTTTGAGATAGGTCTTGCCAAACTGTCTGAGACTGGGCTCAAACCCACAATTCTCCTACCTCAGCCTTCCAGAGTACTGGGATTATAGGCGTGTACTACCACACCCAGCTTTTAAGAAAATTTATTAGCTGTTTATATTTGCTTTTTAAATTTTCTACTAAAATTTGTTTTTTTATTTTAATTTATTTATTTATTTTTAATTTTGAGATAGGTCTTGCCAAACTGTCTGAGACTGGGCTCAAACCCACAATTCTCCTACCTCAGCCTTCCAGAGTACTGGGATTATAGGCGTGTACTACCACACCCAGCTTTTAAGAAAATTTATTAGCTGTTTATATTTGCTTTTTAAATTTTCTACTAAAATTTGTTTTAGTACAGTATAACCAAAATCAAGGTAATGAGTATTACTTGTCTTAAGCCTTTGTGTAATACTACTTTGTGAAAGAAAACTACCTGAAAACGAGTATGAAACTACTACATGATACATTGGTTGGTTTTACTACTTTTCTAGGTTGAGCCCCAGTCTAATAAATCCAATGTGGTCCTAGGGTTCTGGGAAAGGTTTTATCTATGCAGTGTTGTTGAGTCTGGGCCCTGAAGTTTGTAAGATTTCAGTAAGTGGAGTTGAGGCATGAAAAAACAGGTTGGGTAGAGAAGGTAGTAGGCAAGAAGAAAGCTTTGAGTTGTAGTAGTTGTGGTGATAAGAATAGAGGGGGTGTGGTCATGAGCATTTGCTAATTGCAGGAGTTGGATGCAGCAGTTGAGGAAGAATGAGAGGCAACATTATTCCAGCTAAATGTAATGTGATATCCTAACTTGGATCTTGAGATGGAAAAGCAACATTAATGGAAAAATTTGAAAATGCAAATAAAGACTGGATGGAGTTCATTTAATACTAAAGTACCAATGTTGGGCTTTTGATTTTGACAAATATATATTGGTAATGTAAGATGTTAACAGAGGGAGAACTAGATGAGGGAACTGTTTTTTTACTGTACCCCAGAATTTTTCCAAAATTAATTTTCTTAAAAATAAATGGTGCTGGGGATTTAGCTCAGTGGTACTGTTTCTGCCTCCCATGTGCAACATCCTGAGTTCGATCCCTGGTACTGCCAAATTAAATAAGTAAATAAAAAATAAATAAATGGTAAGCCAGGTGTGGTGGTGTACGTCTGTAATCCCAGCACTTGGGAGGCTGGGGCAGGAGGATTGTAGCAAGTTAGAAGCCAGCCTGAACTACAGAGTAAGACCCTGTCTTAAAAAAAAAAAAACCCAAAATAAAAATAATTAATAGCATTAAACAGAAGAAGTCAAGTGAGAAAAGCAGACAGGAAATTGTGAAATCAGTCTCCACATCTTAAGAGTTTGCGCTACTTTTGAAAATGTAGACAGAGATACTCAAATATCTGGAGAATAGGAATACAGATTGATAGGTAACATAGGCTTATAGGAATAACAGATGAAGTTTGAAGATGGAGAATAAAATTCCTATATATTTCTAAACTTATTTATTATCTAAATAATCAGGTAGAGAGGAATGAGGAGGGCAGCAAGAGCCATACGTACTTTTTGTTGGGTACTGAGGATCAAACTCGGGACCTTGCGCTTGTGAGGCAGGTGGAGGCACCACTGAGCTAAATCCCTGGCCTGGCCATAGGTACATTTTAAAGCCAAATTCAGGTAGTATTTAGATAAAATTCTTTGGCTACACCTAACATAAACCACTTTGAACTAATATAAGTAGTAAAGAAAGGGAATTTCTTGGGAGGGTATGAGTATTTTTCAGTGTCCAGTGCCAAGAATGGTGCTGTAATTTGGGAAGAGTTCAACTGGAAATTGAACCACTATCCAGTTTTCTGCATGGCTGTTTTATTCAGTTCTGTCTGTAGTCTGACTTTTACTGCTTAACATTTTAAAATACAGATAACCCAGAATTTGTGTTATATAAGCTAAGTTTGTGTTACACAGTTCTAGTTATATATTACAAACTATCAGGGCCTGAGATTCAGCTCAGGGGTTCCACCACCTGCCTCATAAGCGTAAGGGCCAGAGTTCAATCCGTGGTACCAAAACAAAACAAAAACAAACAAAAAAATAAACTATTCTATCCCTCAGTCTCACCTGTGAATTGCAGAGAAACCTAGCACCCTGGTTTGGATTAGGTTTTAATTCTTGGTTCAGTAGTAAGGGGATTAAGAAACACATAATAGGAGTTTGTGTGCTGGAGCTTCATCTTTGTAGATTGCAAAAGTGACATTTCCCAGGAAGTGTGTGTGGGGAGGGGTATTTGTAGGGGTAAACAATGTAGGAGTATTGTGAGCTAAGTAAATATACCAGAAAGTGTGATATTCTTCTATGTTTTGTAAAATTCTGTATTTGCTACATTACAGTTGCTTATCTTGATTACTGGATTATAAGCCTTTGGGATCTCACTGTGTAGTTCAGGCTGGCCTTGAACTCATTATGGAGCAACTATTGGCCTCAACCTCACGGCATTCCTCCTGCTTCAGCCACCTGAGGGCTGGGATTACCGGTGTGCACCACCTCACCCAGCCTATATCCCTTATTCATCTGCTGAAACATAATGCCTGCTGAACAAACAAATGACAGATGAATGAAGTCATTCATATGCTTAACTGATACTCTGAAATTAGTTGAGACAAATTTTCAAACATGATATTAAAAATTGCATATTTTAAGACTTCATACTATTCATAGTTATCTATACTTATAAAATGAATAATTAATAGTCATTTGGCTTTGAGAAGCACATGGACATGTATTTTACTTCTTAAAGTTATATATTGATATATAATCAGAAACAGTAGGCAAGATCTATGTAACTTTTTCAAAATTGTCTTTACAAAATGGGGAATGTAAAAAATCTTGCTTTTATTAATTTATTTTCATAAAAATCACCCTAGTAGACCCTCAAAGTAGAAACCATTTTAACTTGGATTTACTGACTGGTTTTGACTACATATTCCTTTAAACCATTATAATGTATAGGAGTATTTCCCAAATTGCAGACTCCAGAGAGTTCATGGTGCAAAAGATGACTTGTGGTGGTATACAGATAAATATTTTATGTTTTATAAATTTATTCTTATGAGTATCAGAATAGGTATAACTAAGCCAGCCGTAATGGTACACATCTATCATCTCAGCTACATACAGTTACTTGGAAGGCTGAGGCAGGAGGATCCCAAGTTTGAGAGCAGCATGGTCAACTTAGTGAGACCCTGTCTCAAAAGAGAAAATATAAAAGAGCTGGGAATGCAGCCAGATGGTAGAGCATTTGCTTAGCATATGTGAAGCTCTGGATTGAATTCCTAATATCAAAAAAAGAAAAGAAAAAGATGGGGTGGGGTGTGAATTAGCACATAAAACCTATGACTTCACAGAAATGATGAGCCTAAGTAAAAGGAAAATGAGTCAATTTAACAACAACAATAAAAATAAATGACATAAATGCTTGGAATATGTGTGTAAATGGTGCATTAAGCTTGGGAAGCATTTAATTTTAAATATCTGCCTGACACTACACATGTCTGATGCATCTCTAATACCGTTTCTTTAATATTATATTTAAGGTTTGTATTTCATATATTTCCTTTTGTTAAGAGCAGCAATTTCCTACACACATGGCCATCTCACAAATTGTATTCAGGAAGTTAGGAAGGTGGAACCATTCCTTGAAGAATCAGGACCCTAACAGTTTCTTTGCTTTTCCCTTTGTTCCTAGTTTTCTCTCTTTCCACCTTTCCCCTATCTCTCGGTGGCATTTCTGAGGAAATATAATCTGAAAACAGTTTTAGACAGTTGTGTTAAAATAATACAGCTAGTCTTAAAAGCTTTTACGTTTATTTGTAGTTGAATACTTGTTTCAGTAAATATTAAATCATCTAACCTCTAGGTGCCAGCTTGTTTTGGAATGCAGCAGGTGCTGATCAAGAGCCCGACTCTCAGCTGAAACAAGATGACACCAAGATTTCCAGTGAGGACATGGATTTTTCTGTTGATATTAATAATGAAGTCACAAGTCTTCCAGGTAGTGCATCTTCATTAAAAGCAGTTGATATTCCCAGCTTTGAAGATAGCAGTGTTCCTGTGGAAGAAGAATTTAATCGCCCCCTTTCTGAACTCAAGTAAGATGTCTCTGATTCAATATTTCATCATCATATGGTTTTCCTTTTTTACATTTCTTTTCATTGCACTTTTAATTGACAAATCGTAACTGTATTTATGGAGCATAATACAATGTGTAGGTATTTATAGGTTTACTGTATAAGTGATTAAATCAGACTAATCCACAAATCCATCGTCTCATATATTTAAACATGTTTTTCATGCGATGAAAATATTTTAAATCTATTTTTTTTTACCTTTTTTGTTGTTGTAATAGGGGTTGAACCCAGTTTACACATGCTAAGCAAACAGTCTACCACTGAATTACCTCCCCAGCCCTTAAAATGTACTGTTTGGGGCCAGGGATTTAGCTCAGTGGTACCGTGCCTGACTCACAAGCACAAGGACTTGAGTTAAATCCCCGGTACCAAAAAAAAAATCTGTTTTATTTTGTTGTTTTGTTTCATTTCATTTCATTTCATTTTTTTAAGACGGAGTAGTATTGCTGTGTAGTTTATGCTGGGCTTGAACTCACTATATAGCACAGTCTGGCCTTGAACTCACAGTGATCCTCCTGCCTCAGCCTCCCAAGTGCTAGGATTACAGCCATACACCACCATACCTGGAAAACTACTCTTCTGGCAATTATGAAATGTACCATGCATTTCTTTATTTTTTGCAGTACCAGATATTGAGTTTAGGACCTTATGTGTGCAGGTAAGTACCACTGAACTACATTCCTAACCCTTTTTAAATTTTGAGAGGATCTCACGAACTGCCCAGACTGGCCTTAGACTTGTGATTGTCCCTCTTCGCCCTCCCTACCTGCTGGGATTATAGGTTTATGCCATCATGCTTGAGTCATTAATAATTTTAGTCACCGTTCTGTACAAATTTTTCTTTTTAAATTCTAATACTGTAATTTAGAAATACATTTGTACATAGTATTATATAACATAGTATCTATGTAATTTACAATTCTGAGCTTCCTAAAAATCGTTCCAGATGTCAGCCATTGAATATGTTAAGTCTGAATCAGAACATCTGAGGAAGACTTCAAAATTACTTATGTTTAGGCCTTGCCCTAGGTTCCAGATGGGAGGGACCCAGAATTTTGTAAATTTTTATTCAAGCATCCCCATATTTCAATTATATGTATATATTTATGTAATTCTTACAGATATGTCCCAAATATTTATATGTGAAATATTATCTGAGATTTGCCTCAAAATAATCTAGTGGGAGATGAAATGGCTAAGAGTATAAATGAAATGAAATTGGCTAAAGAGTTGGAAAGTTTTTGGGTTTTTTTTTTTTTGGTACTGAGGATCGAACTCAGGTCCTTGTGCTTGCAAGGCAGGCACCGGAACCATTGAGCTAAATCCCCAGCCCAAGAGTTGGAAAGTTTTAAGAGCGATTACATAAGGTGATATGTTAAACAGTTCTTTCTTGTGTTTGAAATGTTTCATTATAAATTTTTCAATAAAGAAGAGAAAGGAAAAAATATGAGATAAGTAAATGGAAACAAAGCTTTTTGCAAATAGGGAGGGATAGAGGAGTTGAAGGGAGGGCAGGGAAATGGGGGAAAAATAGAAACCGAGATACATCATATAAAGGTACAAGTTCCCAATGATAAATGTAACTGTATGGTATACCAATAAAGGAATTTAAGAGGAAAAAAAATAAGGATTCTGAGCTGGGTGTGGTGGTATATGCCTATAATACCAGCACTTGGGAGGCTGAGGCAGGAGTATCACTGTGAATTTGAGGCCAGCATGTGCTACATAGTAAGACCCTGTCTTAAAAAAAAAAAGATTCTGAATTCAGATCCTCAACAAATTTGAATATACATTCATCAAATATTCTTTGTTGAATATTTGCTACCACAGAACTAGACCCTAGAGATTAAGTAGGTTAGACAAAGGTCCTAACTTAATCTCATAAGCAGCAAAAATAATTAACTATAGTGACAACTGTTCTGAATAAAACAAACCAAGGTAGGGCCGGAGATTTAGCTCAGTGGTTCCACCGCCTGCCTAGCAAGCACAGAGACCTGGGTTCAATCCCTGGTAACAAAAACAAAAACAAAAACAAACCAAGGTGATCAAGTGGGACGTAGATGGGTCGATAGCATGGGAGGGAGGTGTGGTATATTAAGTAGAGTGGTAAAGGTAGCCCTCTCAGTGGGGCAGCATTTGAGGAGCCACCCATGAGCCAGCCACCTGCTTTGGGAAGTGTTGCGGTGTAGGAAATGGCAAGTTTAAGACCTTAGGTGTGCCTGGCTTAATAGTTTCATAAATAAGCAGAAAAGCTAACATAGCTGGACATAGAGGGAAAGTGGAGGAAATGAGCGGAAGGATGGATGCAGGGGCCAAATCATACAGGGCTTCGGATATAGAAAGGGACTGTGGATTTATTCCACGTTCATTAAACAAGAGCAGGATTTTAGTCAGTGTGTAGTATGATGTGGTATTCATTATTTGATTAGTTTTGCAAGTTAATAGAGGATGTTGGGAGACTAGTTGGTAGACTAAAAACAAGTAAGATGAAGTAACTTGGACCTGGGGTGGATCTCGTGGCACACATCAGGTGTAGGCTGTGTGTTAAAGGTAAAAGAATAATTAGGTTTAAAATCCTTCAGATAAGATCACATTAAACAGAAGAGGTGAACTTGCTCATGCAATGGCATTGGGGCAGGCAGTGGATTGCCTTTTTTAATCATAAGCTGTGTGATAATATTTGACATTTTAAATTAATATGATTATAACAGGTCATGGTGGCACGCACACCTGTAATCTCAGCACCCTGGGAGCCTAAGGTAGAAGTATTGTGAGTTAAAGCCCAGCCTGGGAAATTTAGTAAGACCCTGTCTCAAAATAAAAAATAAGGCTGGACATGGTATTGCATGCCTATAATTCCAGCACTCAAGAGGCTGAGGCAGGAGGATTGCTTTAGTTTGAGGCCAGCCTGGACTACGTAATGAGACCCTGTCTTAAAAAAAGGAAGAAAAGAAAAAAAGAGGGCTGGGGATATAGCTCAATGAGAGGGCCCTGTGTTCAATGCCTAGTTCCACAAGAAAAATAATTATGTTTACAGTAATGGTTAAAACAATAAATATGTCTCTAAAAAAACTACAGAGAAACATATATCTCTTGTGTTTTAGCCATATAATTAAGTATTCATTTGAACCACAGTGTATTGAAAAGATCTTTACGTACTCCCTGGCTAGAGTGAGTTTTTACAAATTTGTGTGATCAGATTCATTTCTATGTCTTTAGAACTAGACTTAGTGTCTGATTCTCTATGTTAACTTCTTGATAAATGTTCATTGAGAGGAAGAACAATTTGAGGTGAATCTCAAGGTGGGTCCACATTTTATTTGGAATAATTACAGAAACAGGATAAAGAATGAGCCACGATTATGTGTATTTTCAAGTTAACAGCTTAAAAAATCTCCCTTGCTTTGGTTGTTTTTAATTTCAGATACAGATTTAACTGATAGAATAAAATTTACATCTTCAAAGCGATCAATCAACTTTATTGATTCCAACCCCTAACTAGATGTAAATCTAGCCTTTCATTCAGGATAATGTGTCGATTTGGGTCAAATACTGTCTCCAGAGTTGCCTGTGATGAATTTGATTCTCCAGGCTCCACTCAGACGTCTGGTCTGATTCACACTGGGTTCCCACTGCCGAGTATTTATAGGTATCACTTAGCTACTGGGCTCCCAGTCCCTCTTGGATGTCTTGCTGCATAAGTCTTTCTGATGTTGAAGCAGTCTGTGAAAGATAAGTTTGTCTTGCAGTTTAAGTGATTATTGATTGCTTTTTCCCAGTAGAGAGTAATGGTATGTGGATTTATAGATTCCTTTAAAATGATTCTTTTTTTACTTTTTTTTGTATTGGAGATCGAACTCAGGACCTTGTGCTTTTGAGGCAGGCAGCAGAACCACTGAGCTAAATCCCCGGCCCTGATTCTTTTTTTTTTAGATGCCATGTTTTAGACATACCTAATACCTCACATATTAGAATTATTCTTAAAACTTTAATCTTTTGAGGTTTAAAAGCTTTAATATTTTGGTTCTTTTTAGCTTTTGTTTTTGGTTGGTAGCTTAGACACCAAGACATATATTTTCAAATCCTTGAACACACAGTATAGCAGAGTGCTTAAGAGCATGGTCTCAGGTGTCAGACTGCCAGGATTTGAATCAGGGTAGCATGATCATGAACATGTCTGTCTCATGATCTCTTGGTGATTCTGTTTTCTCATCTATAAAATAATAAGTACCAATTTCATAAGACTTGAGAATTAAATGATTTAATATGCATAAATCAATTAGAACAGTGCCTTATACCTAATTACTATTATTACCATTTGGCTAAAAAAGATGAAATAAGGCACACTCAATAATTGACATAGTCCTCCTTAAAAATAAAACACTTGTAAATATTTGGTTATAAAACCATACAGATCTCCTTTAAAAGTCATAAAATCTCTAAAGGCTGAATTTCTGCTTATAATTTTTTTTTTTTTGGTACCAGGGATTGAACTCCTCAGGACTTTGTGCTTGCAAGGCGGGCGCTGTGCCACTGAGCTAAATCACTGGCCCTCTGCTTCTAAATTTGAAAGTTCTGGCTGGGTATGGTGACGCACACCCATAATCCTAGCATTCAGGAGGCAGAGGCAGGCTAATTACATCGAGTTCAAGGCGAGCCTGGCACAACATAGTGACTTCTAAGCTAGGCTGAACTACATGGCAAGACTGCCTCAAAATAGATAAACAAGGGCTGGGGGTTTAGCTCAGTGGTGCCGCCACCTGCCTTGCAAGCTCAAGATCCCAAGTTCAATCCCCAGTACCACCCCCCCACAAAATAATAATAAATAAGATAAACAAGTAAAAAACTAAGGTTGAAAGTTCTGGTATTTTCATTAAAGTGAAATTAGTTAATGTGATTGAACATAAAGGTTCATTCCCATGTTTGGGGCATAAGAGAGAAGACACTAGGAGATAAAGAGAACTAATAATTACCAGTCACTTGATATGTGTATCTGGTACTCTCCATTAATCCTATTTCAGTTTTTGCATCATAGGGAAGTAACTGTTATCTCCCCTGTTCTGTAGATGAGGAAACTGAGGTCCAAAGAGGTAGATAAATTTGCCTAAGACATGACAAATAAACATATAGCTATATGTAAATGGACATGTATGCAACATATAAAAAGAATGCACTGGTGGGGATTAAAAGAAGCAAGAAAGGGCTGAGGATTTGGCTCAGTGGTTCTGCCACCTGCCTACAAAGCCCAAGGGCCTAATTTTGATCCCTGGTACCAAAAAAAAAAGAAAAGAAAAGAAAAGAAAAGAAAAGAAAAGCAAAAGAAGAAGAAGAAGAAGCAAGAGAACATAACCGGTAAGGATTTAGAGCAACATCTTAGAAAAAGATTTTTAAAAGACCCTTGAAGAGTAGATAGGATTTTGACAGGAAAAGAGTATGCCAACTAAAGGCATTAAAAGCAGGAATTCTTTATTCTGTAACATTTGAAAATATAAATCTGGCTATTTTGCCAGTTCAGAATCTTGGGGAAGAAGTCCAAACAGCTGTGTTATTTTTAAATTTACAAGCAGTGGGGTCAGGGATTCAGCTCAGTGGCACCACCCCTGCCTCACAAGCGAAAGATCCTGAGTTTGATCCCCAGGACCGAAAAAAAAATTTTTACAAGCAGTATTATGCACAGTCATGATTAAGAGCTGCTATATTACAAATAAAATAAAATATGAGGCTGAACTCAGAATAAATAAATATATGTGTAAATATGTAAGTAGATATATGCATTTATGTCTCCTTCTATGAAGTATGGAAAAGTAGTATACTATAGGTCGTATTTTGAACTTTGCTCTTTTAACAGTAAATCTTGGAATTCATTCCAAATCAGTTCTTAGAAATCTCCTTTGTCTTTTTTTTTCTTCCTTTTTTTCATCAGTACTGGGGATTGAACATCTATCACTGAGTTACCTCCCCAGCTCTTTTTATTTTATTTTGAGACAGGGTCTCACTAAATTGTCCAGGCTGCCTCAAACTTACAGTTCACCTGCTTCAGCCTCCTGACTAGCGGGAACTACAGGCACGAACTACTGCAGCCAGCCCTCATTCTTTACTTTATAGCTGCATCATACTTCATTGAGTAGACATATCAATGTAATCAACCATTTTTGTGGATGGTTGGATTATTTGCAATATTTTGCAATTACAAACAATGCTGTAGTGCCGGGGATTTAGCTCAATGGTTCCACCACATGCCTTACAAGCGCAAGGTCCCAAGTTCGATCCCTGGTACCAAAAAGCAAACAAACAACAACAACAACAAAAAACCAAAAAGCCTGAGCTGACCCAGGCTGTTCCTACAAACAGTGCTATAGTGAATTACCTGGTCTTTGTATTTTTTTTTAATTGTTTAAGGGGTTGTTGACTTCTGTATTCAAAGTCAAATGCATTTATAATTTTTTCAGTATTGTCAGATTTTTTTTTTTTGCAAATGTTTTGCCATTTTGCACTCATTAGCAACAAATGAGAGTACTTGTTTCCACATAGCCTTGTCAATATACTATGTTGACTTTTTTTTTTTTTTGAGACAGGGTCTCACTATGTAGTTGAGACTGACTTGGAACTCACTATGTAGCCCAGGCTGGTCTTGAACTCAGCGATCCTCCTACCTCAGCCTCCCGAGTGCTGGGATGACAGGCATGCACCACCATGCCCGGTCTATGTTGACTTTTTAAAAGTTTTTTACCAGCCTGATAAGATGATAAATGATACCTCAGGTGTTTTAAATTTCACATTTAGAACTTTTTCACATTTTTTCATGTTGGAAGTCATTTTGACATCTTTGTGAATTATGTTCTTTATCATTTTCTATGTGTTTTAAGTCTTCTATCCCTTGGTTCTTAGGTATCTTGTGATGCTAGCTCGCGTGGCATATGTTATGAGTATTTTCTCCTAGTTGGTCAGCTATCTTTTTATTTTATTTTTTGCTACGTAAGATTCTGTTTATATGTTTATAGTTAAATTTATTGATTTTTTAAAAAGAATTATATCTTCACTGGTGTTTTATAAAGACTCAATTCAGCTAATATTTATTCAGTTTACTTTGCCCCAAACATGAGTTTTGAAACTTCGATAAGTTAAAATTAAACAGTATAGAAAAAAATAGAAAATAACCTAACTTTTAAAGATGTATAGCCAGAAAAGGCATTCCATGCCTATAAAATGAAAAATAAGGATTAAAAAGTTGTTTTTAAGAATAACTAATGAAGCCAAGAATGGTAGCACCCACCTGTAATCCCAGCACTTGGGAGGCTGAGGCAGGCGGATCACCACAAGTTCAAGGGTAGCCTGACCTATACATAGGGAGTTCAAGACCATCCTGACCTACATTTTGAGATCCTGTCTCAAAAAAAAAAAAAAAAACATAAAGAAGGAAAGGAAAAAAAAAAAGGAGTAGCTAATGAAATGGAAAGATACTCATAATATTAGGCTTTAAAACAGCTTCCAAAACTACCTGTAGTTTATGTTACAGTTTTTCAGAGAAAATACATACAATTTATAGAAAAATTTATAGAAGGAGACGAGATCCTCTAAAATGTTAACAGTGGTGCCAGACACAATGGTGCACGCCTGTAATCCCAGCACTTGGGAGGATGAGGCAGGATTGTAAGAGTTCAAGGCCACCGTGGGCTACATACAGTTCAAGGGCAAAACTACACAAAAAGACCCTGTCTCAAAAAAAAAAAAATTTACAGTGGTTCTTCCACGGTATTAAATTATCTGTGACTTTTATTTTCTTCGTGTTTGGTATAACATGGTATAGATAATACCTTATCTCTCTGCTTGTTGTTTATCTGTCAAATGGACATAATATATATTTATCTTACAGGTTTTTTTTGGTGATTATGTAAATTGATATACTTGAAACTATACCTGGTCCATAATAAGGCTTCTGCTAGCTAATTATTATTATTACTTTCCTTAATTTTCTACAATAATCGATTACTGTTCTAACAAGAAATATGTATTTTAATTCTACTTTCCCTAATTACTTAATTAGAATGTTTTATTTAATTTTGAAAATAATACTCATTGTATATAATGTGATTATAAATGGCAGTTTATGAACTTTTACAAAGATCTTGACTAGTCCTTTAAAACTTGAAATAAATACTGTACTTTAAACTTTTAGATACTCTAAAAGTTTTCATTGTATCAGGTCTAGGAGAAATCAACAGATTGCTTTCCAGCCTGCAAAGAAATTTGTATTAAATATATTATAAAGGTATTACAGTCCATTATGTAGTCTATCAAGATGGTATGTTTGGCTGGGCATGGTAATGCACACCGGTAATCTCAGTACTTAGGAGGCAGGAGAATCATTTTGAGTTCAAAGGCTACCCTGAATTAGTGAGACCCTGTCTCAAAACAAAACAAAAAAACGGTATGTTTATATACATCACTAAGAGTTGAAAATACAAATCGGATGCTGCTTAAGTCTTACGTCCTTCAGACAAAATCAGTACATTTCAAGTATGTAGTAAAGGTTCCTGGTATGGTGGTGCATGACTAACCCCAGCTACAAGAAGACTGAGGCACCCAATAATGAATGTAACTATTGTATACCTAAAATGTACCAATAAACTTATATAAAGAAGGCTGAGGCAGGAGGATCGAAAGTTTGAGGCCAGTGTGGGTAACAAGATCTGAGCAAGAGCCTAAAAAAAAAAAGCGTGTGTGTGTGTGTGCAGGTTTTAAAGTACCTTGGTAACTATCCGTTTATCTTATATATCTTTTCAAGCAGCTCTTCAGATGTGAGAAAAGAACCCGGTGTGCCTGTGTTCTTTCCAAATGCTGTCCTGGCAGAGAGTGTGAGCATGTGCTTACAGGCTGGGCCAACAGAGGGTGCCAGTAGCAATGCTGAGACCTCAGGAGAACCAAAGCTTGAGCAAGTCAGTCAATCCTCGCCTCATCAGATATCAGACAGCCAGAAGATTTACCAGGATTTACTGGTAAGAAAATATGGAGCATCTTACCCCTTATGAGATCATTATTTAATATAGGAAATACTAAACTTTCCCTAGATTTAAAATGTTTGGGAACTTGAAATAAAAAGATTATATCATTTATTTCTTTTAGCTTTCCATATATTGTAACTCAAAATCAGTAATTTACCATAAGCATGCCAGTCATCAGGTATTTAGCCAGAAAAAAAAAGGGGGCTCCTTTAAAATATAAGTGTTGATTTTATACTAAGTTCATACTAAAGCTAGTGCAGGGGGTGCGAGCAAGAGTTTGAAAGAAATTTGAACCCTGAAAAGTAGTGGAATGTATGGTAATATTTACTGATTTCAGTTCAGGTAAGCAGGTATTTATTAAATATTAAACTGAGTCTTAAAAGGGGGGAAATGTAAAGCAGAATACGAAAGTCTTATATCATTAAGAACATAGAGGAAATAGTAACACAGCGACACCAGTAACAATTACACGACAGGTTGAGAAGTGATACGAAGCAACGTAAGAACAGGATGAATAGGAGTAATTCTGATTAAAGGACCCAATGGTCTTGGAATATTTAGGTTAGAATGTGAACTGAGACTGAAAGGCTGGAATGACCGTGGCTGTTACTTCCAGACTTGTAACATTGGTTTCTCTGGTTAATGACAAATTAAATGTGCTTTAGTGAGGTCCTGTGTGTTCATCAGCGAGCACATGTTTATTTACCTGCTAGGTTCTGACTGGTACCAGCCCTGTCTGCCCAGGTAGTGAAAATGACTGAATGTCTGGAGGGCAGAGTGGGTATCACAGGTCATTCTTGTTTTCAGAAAGTGGAAAAGAAGAGAACCTAATTCTGAAAGTAACATAAAGGTCTAATTTATAACTTTGAAATATATAGCCATATGGAAACGAAACCGTGATTAAAACTTTTGTTTATAAAGAATTTAGCATAAATCTTAGAGAACCTTTAGATTGCTCATATGATTTTAGATATGTTGATTTTTTAAATGAATAGATTCTGAACAAAAGATCTTTTTCTTGTAGGATCTGATGAAATCATTAGGATAGGATCTCCCATAATACTTGCAAATGTATTAGATATTTTATGGTATTTCACAAGGGAGTATCGTTTTGTCCTAAAGCTATTAGTAGTGATTTTTAAATATGATCTTTTTTTTCGTCAGGGTCAAGTGAATCATCTATTAAGTAACTCCTTGAAAGAAACAGAGCAACCATCTACCAAAGCAGTAGTTATCAGCCATGAATGTACCAGAACGCAAAATGTTTACCGTACAAAGAAAAAAAAACACAGTCCAGGACTGGTGGAGAAAGATTGTGTTCTTAATGCGACACTTAAGCAACTAAGAAACCTGGGAGTAAAAATTGATTCTCCTACTAAAGTGAAGAAAAATGCACATAAAGTAGATCATGCCAGGTAGCATTTTAAAGTTTATTTTAAAAGAGTAATAAATTTTACATTGATTATATCTGTTAAAGTCTATATAGTTTTAGATATCTAGCAGCAGTCTCTAAAGAAAAGGTGTAAGTTTGTCATACCTCAAGTCATTTGATTCATTGTTTCTTCATACAGACTGCATGTGAGAAGAAATATAAATCATCTTTAGGTTTTGGAGTCTTCATTTTAGCAGGAGAAAAAGTCACATATATAAGTAGTTTGAGAGATATTGTGGGATGTTGCCTTGGTAGAGATGCTGACAAAATAGTTTGGGAAAGAGAAGTGGGTATTTTGGGCATTGTCTAAAGTCTTCCTGGAGTACTAGCGTGATACAGTAGCTACTGCAAATACAGTTTATATGCATGTTTTCTAAAAAGCAAAGCATTTGGGCTGGGGAGTTAGCTCAGTGGTTCCACCGCCTGAGTTGCAAGCATAAGGACCCGAGTTTGATCCCTAGTACCAAAAAAAAAAAAAAAAGCACAGCATTTCTTTTCCCACAAATGTGTCTGACTTTCATGTCCTTCTGTTCAGATTCCTTTTTATTAAAGATGACCTCAGTATATCCTCATCCAAAGAAGGATAAAATCTGGAATTACTTGTCTGTTTTACTTCTTTTTTCTTTAAAAAAAATTAGTACATGTTTGTACTACATAATGGAATTATATTAAGGATAGCATTTTTTTTTTTTTTTTGGTTTTTTGAGACAAATAAGAGGAGGTACTATTATTGCCTTTATTTTCAGTTGAGAGAGGAAAAGATTAGATTTTAACCAATTTCCTCAAAGTTGAACAGTTGATAAGTAGAAAGCTGACGCGAAACCCACGTCTGACATACTCTCAGGGGCTCTGTAACCACTGACTTACTACTGAGCATTTAGCGCCTTGCATTTTGCCACCAGAGTCCTTTGTTCACTATTTGTTATGGTAAACATTATATTCTACTCAAACAAATACGCTATGACTTTTCATATCACATTAAGAAATTCAGCTGTTTTATATGTGCCAGCCACGGCTTACATCCATAGCCTCACAAAAAACAAGTATCAGGCATTTTCTTTCTTTTGTGGGGAGGCGGGTACTGGGGATCAAACTCAGGACCTTGTGCTTGGGAGGCAGGCATGGTGCACTGAGCTAAATCCCCAGCCCAGGAATTTTCTTTTCTCTTTTCTTCTCTTTCTGTTTCTCTTTCTTGACAGAGTCTTACTATGTAGTTGAGACTGACTTGGAACTTACTATGTAGCCCAGGCTGGTTTCGAACTCACAGCGATCCTCCTGCCTCATCCTCATGAGTGCTGGGATTACAGGTGTGAGCCACCATGCCCAGCTATAGGATAACGTGTTTTCTGTTAATTGCTTTTTTTTTTTTGGTACCTGGGATTGAACTCGGGTCCTTGAATTTACAAGGCAGGCCACTGAACCGCTGAGCTAAATCCTCAGCAATTACTTTTTGTTATTAGAAAACTAATAAAATTTCTTGGTTTGTAATCTCAGCCCCTTGGGAGGCTGAGATAGAAGGATTGTTCTCAAAATAAAATTTAAACTGCAAAAATTCCCATATTCCCAAATTCCTGTTTGACTCCTTAAGGCTATTTCTCTTAGTCCCCAGCTCTCCCCCATCCCTTTTCTTTCCCCCTCCCCCAGTCAGATTGTTTTAATCAAGATTATTTTGCCCATAATTTAAATAAAAGCATATATTATAAATTATACTATAAAAAATATACTTTCAGAAAGTGAAAAAATGTCATTTGAACTAATAACATGCAAAAAATTCAGCTTGTTAAGAAACATAGTTGCAATTTTATATATGTAATTTTCATTTATGCATGAGATGAAAAATTTATAGACAGGATTTTAATTCCATGTAAGATAATTTTCTCCCCCCCCTCCAAATAAAAAGGTTGTGCATGGTGGGGTACATCTGTAATCTCAGCACTCAGGAGGCTGAGGCAGGAGCACCACTGACTTTACAGCCAGCCTGAGCTACATGGCAAGATTCTGTCTCAAAAACAAAAAAGACAAGAAAATGAAAACAAAACAGTTCAAAACAATATGCAGTATAAACAAATTAGTATGTATTTCAGCTCACAGTTTTGTTTTGTTTTTTGGTGCCAGGGATTGAACTCGGTCCTTGGGCAGGCTGCAGAACTACTGAGCTAAATCCCTGGCATTAGCACATATTTCTATATCTTCTTATGAACGACCTTTTAAATTTTATAATACAGTATAAACTACTACATGAAATATATAGTTTTTTAAATAGTTTGATATTTGTTTTGTTTCTAAGTATTATAAACTTAGTTTGAAAATGGAAAATAAAAAAGAAAGAAAATTGAAAATATAGAGTAGACAAGACAAAAACTTTTCCTACCTATCAAATTCAACTATTAAAATTTTGCTAATATGTATATGTATATATTTTTCAGAGGCAGGATCTTGTTATGTAGTTCAGGCCAGCCTTGAATTCACTATTAGCTCAGGCTGGCGTCGAGCTCGTGGCAATCCTCCTGCCTCAGCCTCCCAAGTGCTGAGATTACAGGCACGTACCCCCATTCCCAGCTTTTCTTAAATAATTTTAACAGCAACCATTTATTTGAGTGCTCATGTATTAAAAACTATTGTAATTTTATGAAGAATTGTTTTACTTAATATTTAAAATAATTCAAGTGGTAGATTGTTTCATACTGTTTCACAATTTTTCTTGAACTTAATTTTTTTGTGTACTCTCCTACCAGGTTCCAGCTTGTACCCATCGTTGCTATTTGCAAGGTTCCTTGCCATTGCTTTTGTTTTCGTTTTTTTCTACTGCCCAGAATCTCTTTCCTTTTCTTTTTTCTTTTTTTTGGCACTGGGAACTGAACCCATGGCCTTTGCATTGAGCCACATCCCCAGCCCTTTTTTTTTTTTTTATTCTATCTATTTATCTATTTTTTTAATCTATCTATCTATCTATCTATCTATCTATCTATCTATCTATCTATCTATCTATCTATCTATCTTGGTAACGGTCTTCTTGCTCAGTTGAGCAGGCTATGGTCAAATTTACAGTCCTCCTGACTCAGCCTCCTAAAGTGCTGAAATTTCAGGAGTGCACCTCCAAGCCCAGGTCTTATCTTTCAAATATGAATTCAGATGTCATGTCTTTTGTCAGTGTTTTCTGTGTCCTCAGAGAATATGATGCTTTATACTCAAAATACCTTGCTCTTCATAGATTACAACATTGTAAATTTTATGCATAGTAATCCTTTTCTGTCTGTAGGGGATTAGTTCCAGGATCCCTCCAGGCTGCCAAAATCCACAGATGTTCAAGTCCCTTATATAAATGGGACAGTGTTTGCATATAACCTACACACATCTCCCCATATCATCTTAAATCATCTCTAGATTACTTACAGTACATAAATGCTATGTAAGTAGCTGTTACATTGTATTACCTGGGAAGTAATGAGCCAAAACAAAGTGTGTATATTTCCGATATTATTTCTTTTCCCCTTAAATATTTTCAGTCTGCTATTGGTTGAATCCAGAGCTGTGGAATCCATAGATATGGAGAGTAGAATGTAATTCTGAATCCTTACTATCTCCTCCACTTAGTGGGCCTTAGTTAGTTGTTTGTTGAATAAATGAAATCTCAGGTCATCATAGAAGCTTACAATGTTTTGTTTTGTTTTGTTTTTTTTAGGCAGGGTCTTGCTTTGTAGTTCAGGTTGACCTTGAACTCACTGTGTGGCCTAGGCTGGCCACAAACTCACAGTGATCCTCCTGCCTCAGCCTCCAAGTGCTAGGATTATTGGCGTGCACCATCACACCCTGCTCATATTACATACAGGTATAATATATTTAGTTTGCCAAAAGTTCATAAGGCTATTTTTTAGAATATATAACTCATTTTTCTATAGAAAGTGTTACAAATTATAGATTAAGTGCCAGAAAAGTAATCCTTGTAGTTCACACTGTTCCTCTAGTTCAACAGTCTTTCGTCATTGTATCTGCATAAAAACTTGTCCCATATTTTTTTGGTCTCTGAGCACATTCTCTCAGCAAAGTGGCTGTTGCAGGGAGAGGAACTTTCAGCTTTCCTACCTCAGAACACTGCATAGATGAAGGGCAATCCAAAGGTAGGAAGGCAGGGAAAGAAGATCACAGAGAGACCTAGAAATGATACAGGAGGTGGAGGTCATGGGTTCTAGTTCTGGAAGCAGCCTCTATAGGCAGGTTTCCACTGTAGTAACCCTCTTGAATTTAAAGCAGGTCTTAAGCAGCCTCTGTAATTGCTTCCTTACCTTGCTACCTGGCTGTCTGTTTGTTATAGGAAAAACCTGTATAGGATATGTAGGCATTTAACTCATTTTAATGTAAACTGGACAGTAAATGAAGGTTGACCTTCATCTTTAGGTTGGAATAATTCTTTGAGTTTCCCTTAATTGTTAGCATCCAAATCTTACTTAAACTTATTCGTGGATTTTCATCATCATTTCATGACTGCACATCTAATGAGATTGTAACATAGTATGTTTGTGCTTGAGGCTTGTAAGATTTGATTAGTTAGAATGGCCTCCTTTTGCTTTTCATCTTAATTATCCTAGTGTTTATATGCTTTGATTCTGAATGTTATTGGTTTGTTTTGCTTTCAAAATAACACGTGCAAGTTTTCGGATTTAATATGCAAATCACTTAGGAGTTTGTGGAAATAGATATAGAAAGTAGAAGACTATTCAGAAGACATTATCTCTGACTATATAAAAAATATCTAGGTAATATAGTAGTATTTCTTCCATCTAAAATGCTGTCCAGGGCTGGGGATTTAGCTCAGTGGTGCTACTGCCTGCCTCGCAAGTGTAAGGACCTGAGTTCAATCCCTGGTACCAAAAAATAAATAAATAAAATAAAATAAAATGCTGTCTGAAAAGCATTAAGTACTAATGAGGGGGAAACTCCAAGATAGTTAAGAACATTATTGAGCACATTACTTATTGTTTGGTGATTATATATCACTTATTTTGGGGGATACTAATGGTTGGAAATGGCTTCTTCCAAATTCTAGGTGCTTCAAAAGAAAGAAAATTCGCTAGGCGTGGTGGCACACGCCTGTAATCTCAGCACTCAGGAGGCTGAGGCAGGAGGATCGCTGTGAGTTCGAGACCAGCCTGGGCTACATAAGGAGCTCCAAGTCAGTCTCAACTACATAGTGAGACACTGTCTCAAATAACCAAAAAAAAAAGAAAAGAAAAAGAAAAAGAGAAAATTCCTGGACTGGGGATTTAGCTCAGTGCACCATGCCTGCCTCCCAAGCACAAGGTCCTGAGTTTGATCCCCAGTACCCGCCTCCCCACAAAAGAAAGAAAATGCCTGATACTTGTTTTTTGTGAGGCTATGGATGTAAGCCGTGGCTGGCACATATAAAACAGCTGAATTTCTTAATGTGATATGAAAAGTCATAGCGTATTTGTTTGAGTAGAATATAATGTTTACCATAACAAATAGTGAACAAAGGACTCTGGTGGCAAAATGCAAGGCGCTAAATGCTCAGTAGTAAGTCAGTGGTTACAGAGCCCCTGAGAGTATGTCAGACGTGGGTTTCGCGTCAGCTTTCTACTTATCAACTGTTCAACTTTGAGGAAATTGGTTAAAATCTATTCTTTTCCTCTCTCAACTGAAAATAAAGGCAACAATAGTACCTCCTCTTATTCGTTTAGTAAATAATGAGTGCTTATTATGTGCCAGCCACTGGATGGCAAAACACTAGTGGGAAAAAATCCAATCCAAATGCTCACCTTTTTAGCTCTCATGAGGGATCTAGACAGTAAAATAAGACGTGTGTTGAGGTAATGATAAATGCTAAGGAAAAAGCAGAAAAGTAGGGGAAAGAGAATATAAGGTGTTGAAGTGGATTATGGAATACCTCTCTGAGAAAGATTACTATGAGCAGTAAATAATGCACGTAGAGTGCCTGGCATTTATCAGGCCTCATACAAATTATGATTGTATATATGATATAAAGAAAAAGGCAAATCAATTAACATTACCAAAAGTGAGTTGAAGATTATGTCTCATTTAGCCAGGTGTGGTGGGCAGGAGACTGAGGCAGGAATGCAAGTTAGAGACCAGCCTGAGCTGCATACCAAGTTCAAGATTGGCTTAAACTGCACAATGAGCTTGTCTTTAAAAAAAAAAAAGAAAAGGTGTGCCAAGCATGGTGGCACACTCCCAGTACTTGTGAGGCTGAGGCAGAAGGATTTTCCATGAGTTTGGGGCCAGCTTGAACTACATATAAAGACCCTATCTAAAAAAAGAAAGAATGAAAGTGTGTGTGTATGTAAGCAAACCTATATCCAGGAACTGGTTGATGTTTCATTTATTGCGAGTGAAATCTCTTCAACTATGAACAATTTAATTCAGTTTAATCGTCTACCTACTACAGCTTGTATTTTTATATCATCAGACGTATTCTGTGTTTGCTCTTTTATGTTTTACTTTACATTAAATATTAGCTGAGCTCATGCTATTTGGGGTTAATAGTTGAAAATTAAGTGACAGCATTATTGAATGATTCCTACATTTGTTTTTTTGTTTTTGGGGGGTTTTTTGGTACTAGTGATCGAACTCATGCTCTTGCACTTGTGAGGCGGTCAGTGGAACCACTGAGCTAAACCCTTGGCCCTTGATTCCTACATTTGGAGCCTTGTTTTGTCCTTAAAACCATGACTGATGTATAAATTTAGAATAATCAATTTGTGTTCCACTTTCAATCTGTGAGTCATGAATTACCTTCTAGGTTATCATATGTATCCCTTGATATATCATATCTATTACAAAAAGCCACAGGAGCATAAGGCTGAAATATTTTGTTACTCTCGTAGACTGAAACTCATTGAGAATGAAATTGTTACTTAAGATAAATGATGGTTTACTCCTTTGTGTCTTTTAGTGTGTTGGCATGCATCAGCCCAGAAGCAGTGATCTCTGGATTAAACTACATGTCCTTTGCTAATGTTGGCATGAGTGGTTTAACCTCCACTGGTGTGGATTTGAGCATGGAGGCAAACGCTATAGCTCTGAAATATTTAAATGAAAATCAGCTCTCGCAACTCTCTCTCACTCGATCAAACCAAAATAACAGTGACTCATCTTTTAGTCTTCTGCATATCAATACAGACAGAAGCACAATGGGGCTTAACTTAATTTCACCAAGCAACATGTCATTTGCAACTAAAAAATACATGCAGAGATATGGACTCATACAAAGCAGTGACAATAGTGAGGATGAAGAGGAGCCTCCCAACCATGCCGATAGCAAGAGTGACCATTTGTTGAATCAAAACTCTACACCTATATCTGTACAATGTGGTCTTCAGAAAGAGCCTAGGAATGCCTGTGAAATAATTAATTGTTGTAACTGCGAATCCATGGACACACACAAAGAGATGCCAGTATTAAGAAATATTACAAATGAAATTGTCCAGTCTAAAGCAACACAGAAGTTGAATGAAAATCTGTCTGTATTAAAGAACCTTAAACCAAGCCCTGCAACAAACTTCCGAACTGGAAAAGCACAGTTTACTCAACATCCTGAGAAAGAAAATGAAAGGGACATTCCAGTTTTTCCTGAAAGTTTGCAACCTTCTGAAACTTTAAATCAAATGAATAGTATGAACTCAGTAGGTACCTTTTTAGATGTAAAGCGTCTCAGACAGTTGCCCAAATTATTCTAAACCTTCTTTAACACCCTCCTTTCCAATACAGATCTGGGTGTGTCCTGAAGGTACTTAGAGAAGCCAGAGCCTTTTTGGTAGTTTTGAGATTCCTAATCATTGTAGGAGTCAATCTGCTTCTTAGTATCAGCTAGTTACAAAGAACTAAACTAGTGACTTGTCTGTGAGCTGGAAGGCTAGTGGGAAAGCCAACTTATTCAAATAGAGCTTTACAGCATTACTGAAACTAAGAAAAGAAAAAAACCCTAAGATCAGTTAATTTCAGCAAATTTAGGTAAACAGACGCTGTTCAACTCTGACTCTGAATTGCTATTTTATGCTGTGTATTTCACAAAGTCCACTTTTCTAGCATGTTACATCTCTGCATATCAGTAAAACAACATACAGCTATTGTGACTCAAGTCGAATTAGCAAAACCCGTCCCCTCTTGAGTTTAAAAAGAATGTTATTTTTTAAAATAACTGAAGATCAGGGCTGGGGATTTAGCTCTGTGGTGCCGCCACCTGCCTCCCAAGCACAAGGACCCGAGTTTGATCTCTGGTACCCAAAACCAAAACCAAAACAAAACAAACAAAAATAACTGAAGATCTTTTATACAAGAAATATAGTTCCTTTTAAGATGCATATTAATTAAATTCTGGGAGACTTGCAATCTGTTGGATTGATGTTTATGTAGCATCTTTAACACATATCACAATAAGAAAATTGAGTATCAGTGTTGTATGGACTGATTTTCAAATCTTACTGTTTTTAAGAGAACTTAATAAAAATGTCTAGACTGTCTTCTTTTGTCTTCTGCTGATAGTTTATCCTTCCTCCTTTTATTTCACTTTTGCAATGATACAAAAATAAAACAAGTATGTCCTTTACCCACCCACCCCTTGGTGGTATTATTCTACTCAATCATAGTAAATTACCAAAGCCAAGAAATTGATACTGGGTTCAATACTAATAACTAACCACAGACCTTTCAGATTTCATTAAGTTTGGAAGTTCTGGGGAGAGTTACTGTGGATCAAACCCAGGTTCTTATATATGCTAAGCACATGTTATGCACTGAGCTCCATCCCAGCCCACAGGTTTTCATATACACTCATTTATTGACTACCAAAAAGTGCAGCTGTACTAAATTATGTAACTTACGGATTCATATAACTATTGCTACCCTTTTGAAACAAACCCTTTCTCCAACCTTTACTCCTGACAACCAGTAATCTGTTCTGCCTTTCTAGAATTTTGTCATTTTTGAGAATGTTATATACACAGAACTATACAGCGTGTAACTTTTTGAAACTGGCTTTTCACAGAGCATAATGTCCTGAGATCTCTCCAACGGTTGAGTGTATTAGTAATTCCCTCAGCACCTGTTTTAAAAAAATCTTTTGTTATTGTTTTTTAATATATATGAAAAAGCTCTCATTCACTTAAGAGATAATAAGCTTTTGGGTTGAAGTTAAGATGTGATTCCCTTAAGCTGAAGTTTCATGTGTAAATGGAAAGAAGTAGATCTCTAAATACTTCTCCAACATTGCTGTGGCTTTTTGAGACAGTAACAAGATATAACAATTTATAGTTAGCAAGCCCACATATAGTAATATGGAGCTAGGGACCAGTTAGTACATCTTTCCATACAATGCCATGCTTTCAAGTTTTATAAAACTAAGCCACATAAATGGCAATGGTGGTATCTTTACCTGTTTCCATTTGCATCATTTATAACTTTAGTCACTTTAATAATAGCGTAAAAATCTACTTGCATGTTTCATGGGAGTAAAACCAAGAGTGGAATTGGTACAGCTTTCAAGTGTGCTTTTTTTGGTCCCGGGGATTGAACCTGGGTCTTTGTGCTTACAAGGCAGGGGGCAGACCCACTAAGCTAAATCCCCAGCCCATTGTGCTGTTTTAACCAACTCTCAGTGTGTCCACAAAGTAAATGTACTGAGTACCCTTTATATTGCACACTATTGAAAAAACAGTTAGTGAATTAACCGACAGATTCATCAGTTATGTTCATTCCTAGGAATCCTGTAAGTTTTATACTAATTAAGAAGCTCTGTCTAAGCAATAAAAGCAACCTGAGGCTTTTTAGGCAAAATTTAAATGAATCGCTTGTTACCATATCTAATTTAAGGCCTCTCATAAGACATATAAGCAGTTTTGGAGACTTAATTTAGATTGCAGATTAATTCAACAAAACTTATTCTATGAAGCACAGGCCAAGAGAAGAGCAACCATCAATATAAAGTCTGCTCTAGAAAGTTCGATAAGAATAGTGTTTTACTATGAGAAGTTAGTTGCTCTGCTAACCTTTAGGCATCTTTGGAAAAAAGTATTAGTACTGGAAAAATTGGATTAAAATGATCTGCCTCTTGAGTGACATTTTTCTGAATTTCTGTCACCCAGTCCCACAGGGTATTGTTTATAAGATACATGAGTGCTGGTTCAAATGTCAGGAAATGATCTATTATCTAACTTCTGGGAAATAAGCCCATTAACTTGGGTCCTGATAAATTGACAGTCACTCCTACCTTTCTTCATGTGTCTCACCCAATTTAAGTGTCTTTCTGGTCAGTTGAAACCAATATCACTCCATGTTCCCTTGGCCTCTTACTTGCCCTGCTCTGTGCCAAGTCCCCCAAAAGTGGCTGTAGATGTGTTTGATAAAGCCCTGTAAAGGTTATGAAGATTCTAGATAGGGCTGGGGATTTAGCTCAGTGGTTCCACTGCCTGCCTCACAAGCTCAAGGTCCTGAGTTTGATCCCTGGTACCAAAAAACACAACAAAAAAGATTCTAGAGAAAAAAGCAAGAATTATGATGGTATCAAATGAAAAGCCCAAATGAGTGACCCAGACTCTAAGGAACCACAGCAGTGTAGTCGCGACAGCTTCCTTTTTTTTAGGACTTGGGATGCAGAGTATTTCACGTACAGTGTCCCTAAAGTCCCCTGACTAACTGCGGGTGTAATCCTCACTGGTGAGGAAACAGCCTTAGGAAAGGAGTTTACCCACACAAATTGTTTCTAGAGACTCTAGAAACTCCAGAACACACAGTTTTAAGCCACTAAGAAAGCCTCTGAGTCCAAAAGAATTGAAGAGCTTCCTGGAAGAAATGCATGTGGAACTGAACAAATGATTTCAAATACTACAGTCTGCTGTCTATAAATACTGCATTTTCCTCCTGGCTGCCTGGTTTTCTTTTGCTCCAGGAAGGAATGGCTTGCCTTTCAACCCAGAGTAGAAGCTTGTGGCCTAAAGAAGGCAATTTCAGCTCTGTTAAGGATAAAGGGTTCATGTCAATGACTAAAAGCAGCAAGCTAGTACCAAATCTGCGTTAGGAGCGCCAGGAAATTAGAGGAACCAAGCCTCTTTGCCCTATTTTCTAGGAATGCCTCACAAGGACCAGACATTTCCTAGCCTCCCACATTAACAGGGATGCTTTTGTAAATCTCATGGTAATGTTTTGCATTTGCAGATTGCTTCACACTTTTCATTTCCTATTGTTACTTTTTTTTTTTTTTTTTTTTTTTTTTTTTTGTAGCAGGGATCTAACTTGAGACCTTGTATCTGCGAGACAGGCAGCAGAACGGCTGAGCTACATCCCAGCCCTGCTTCACACTTTTCAAAGGGCTTTCCTATGAGTTTTGTCATATGATTCTTGCAACAAAAACCCTACTGACACTTGTATGGCTGGCATAATTCACTCCTCTTTACAGATGATGAAACAGACACAAAGTAAAGTGGGAGAAAAGTCACAATCATAATTAACCAAGATACCAGCCTACTGCCCACCACCTCTCATCCTAGTAGTGGCTACTCTTGTCTATTTTCCCTCCACACCACCACCCTTCTCACAATTAGTTATTCAACAGGTATATCATGATCCTTCTAGGTGCTGAGCTGGACACTGAGCATAAGATGGGCTCAGTCTAACAGGGGAGGGAGGTGCAAACACTAGCAATAGAGTCAATGCTTATATATAAGATGTGCAAATATAACAAAAGCTGGGAGAATGATTATTCCATGAATGCTCTTGAAGGGTGGTGATACTTTTCCGGCATCAAGAACAACTGGAAAGAGAAGGAGGGGATGTATCTGAAAAGGGAACAACTTGTGTGAAGGCATGGAGATGTGAACAGGTATAGCACTGGGGCAGGGGACCAAGGATAAGAAAAGCAGGAAGACTGCTGCATTAGGAGTCAGTAACAATTGTGTTTCTGTTGTTCTGTCCTGACCGCTGGGGCACTGGACAAATCACATCTTTATTTTCCCAAGTTTGGCTTTACTGTTGGTATGGTTTGGTTTGGTTTTACAGTACTGGGGATTGAATCCAGAGATGCTCTACCGCTGAACATAATCCCAGCCCTTTTTATTATTATTTTATTTTGAGAGAGTTTCACTAAGTTGCCTGGGCTGATCTCAAATTTGTCATCCTCTTGCCTCAGCTTCCCAAGTACCTGGGATTATAAGAGTGTGATGACACTTGTCTGATTTCCCAGCTTTTGTAGGGAAGAATTACCCTGTGCATCTCTGACATGTGATTGCATAGAATAATGGTTCTAGAAATATGAAGGGCCTGGCAGTGTAGTTCTGTGGTAGAAAAACTTGTTGAGCCTTCATAAGGCCCTGGATTCATTCTCCAGTACCACAAAAACTAATAGCAGCAACAAAGAAGGATATGAATGTCTAGAGGAAAGAAAGCAAGAGAGCACTTTAGAGTTGGGCCTTGAAACATCTTGAAGGATTTCTATAGATATAGGTGAAGGAAAGATGTCCCTACTTTAAAAATAATGTTTAACATACTTACTTGATAAAAGAAAGAGAATTCTGTGCTGGTCACCAAATGTTGAATAATCAATCATGTCTTTTTGAGGAACACCAGCATGTCTCTCTTAGCTCTGCATTATATATTCCCTGTTTTTAAGTAGCTCAAGTCTGAGTGGAAGGAAAACAAAACCCATGCAAAGGCTGGAGGCCGTTGGAGGTGCAGGAGATGCTCCCTATCTCTTCCTTCCACTCCTATAACCGGAACCGTCTGGGTCACAGAGAACATCCTCAGAGGAAATCCTGCTTCCCCATTTCCTGGTTGGAGGGTGAACTCCAGGAAAAGGATGGATTTGGGGAAAACTCTGTGTCCTGTTTCTTCACGGGAGGTATGGTGCCACCAGGGCAGGGGGCGCTAATTAAAAACACAAATGGAAAAGATGATGTGAATCCAAGGGTGTCAGAGCTGCAGGACTTCAGAAATCACTTGGTCCTTGTTTACACATAAAGACACAGGCCAAAGAAGAGAAGGGCCTTGCTCCAGTTCACGTAGGACAATGCACACAGAGGTGGGACTGGAACTCGGGATTCCAGCCTCCCAGGGCGTACTATCATCTGCACGGACTGAGTCAGCAAGTTAGGGATGGAGTAATCCAACCAGGGCCTTCTGTTCCCCTGGACACACAACAGTGAAAAGGGAAGGGAACACCCTTACACACTCACAAACACACACGTTTCC